CGATAATTTTATACTGGTTCACCCAATACCAGGGCTACGTCCAGTCTCCAGCCAAATTCCAGCTGGGTTCCACTAGAATAGATGTTTTACAGACTCAACAATCTTACACCTACTCTAACACCAGAACCAATTTCCAGTTCCTGACTTTAACCTTTCCACCAAGAACCAAATTCCAGTTCTTGGAAACCTCTCGCAACCAAATTCCAGCTGCAGAGAAACCAAGTACCCAAATTCCAGGCACCACACAAGTACAAGAACCAAATTCCAGTTCCCGCACTTAACCTCTCCACCAAGAACCAAATTCCAGCTCTTGATAACCTCTACAACCAAATTCCAGTTGCAGAGAAACCAGTGCCCAAATTCCAGGCACCAAACAAGACAAGAACCAAATTCCAGTTCACGTACTCAACCTCTCCACCAAGAACCAAATTCCAGTTCTTGGAAACTTCTACAACCACCTACCAGACTGCAGAAAACTTGTACCCAAATTCCAGGTACAACACAATACAAAGAAATGACAAGCAATTGAAAAGAAGAAACTTAGAAAGCTCAAACCGGATTACGCTTATCCACTCGTAAGTTCCTCCTTCAAAGAATGCAAAAGTGCCTCAAGAAAGATTTCAAAAGAAGTTCACAAAGCGATTACTGAATCTTTCTTGGAAAAGGATGCTTAATAGTTGCTTGAATTGATTGCTTTGGATGTTTAAAAACTGATGTTCAATCTCTGTTTAAAAATTTCAAGCAAAACTGTTTTTAAAGAGAATTTTCAAATCTGCTGCATTAATTAATCTGTTGAAAGTTTGTTTTAATCTGTTGAAATAGCCGTTATAATCTGTTAAAAGTCCTTTCAACCCATTAATGCGTTCTTGTTTCTTTAACATAATGGTTTTAGTTGATACAACCATGTTTATATCAGCTTAAAACATTTTACAAACATTTTCTGAGAGTGATTCAATCGATTGATTCGCGTTTTAATCTATTGATTTACTTTAAAACTTTCTTATAAAACTTTTCAAGTTATTTTAACTGATACAAAGAAGTTTTAATCGATTAAAAACCTGCACAGAATTTTTCTAAGTTGTTTTAATCGGTTGAAACGCGTTTTAATCGATTGAAACTCGTACAAAGATTTTCCAAGTTATTTTAATCGATTGAAATACGTTTTAATCGATTGAAACTCGTACAAAAATTTTCAAGTCATTTTAATCGATTGAAATTCGTTTTAATCGATTGAAATAAGTCTGATCGGTCATAATTCAATTCGATCGATCATAACCAACTCGATCGGTCATAATTTCATTCTGATCGATCATCCTGACTTCCAAAGTGGTTTTAATCGATTAAAACGTGTTTTAATCGATTAAAATAAATCTAACGCTCATTTTTAAAGTCTGATCGATTATATTTCATTCTGACTGTCATATTCGAATTATAATCGGTCATAAAGGGTTTTAATCGATTAAAAGAAGTTTGTATCGATTAAAATACTGTAAAAACACTTCTTTACGCATTCTAAGTGATTTTAATTGTTTCTTTTAAAACTATATCAGTTAAAAACATTGTTAAGAAAGTTCTTTGTCAAAATGCTTTTGTTTGATTTGTTAAAAACTATTTTTGAGGCATTTTGCAAATTGAGTGAAGGAGCTTCATGCAGTGGAAAAGGTAAAGTGGTTTTACCTAAGCTTTCTGATAAGACACACTAAGTCTTCAGCTCCATTCTTCTGAGTGACTTGTTTGACTGCTGCAGAGTTGACCTTTGACTTTATCTTTGACTTCATCAAATCACTGAGATCTTTGCTAGTATCACTTTCAAATAGTAAATTGACTAATTTTTTTCTAATCGAGAATTCTAAGCCTGCAGAGGCCATTCTGACTAATTCATATTCAGGAATTTGAGTAAAGCATCTCGACTTCATTTGTCTAAATCGATTCAAATAATCATCTATGCTTTCATGATTGTATCTTTTTATATTCATCAAATCGATGAGACTTACTTGAGTTTCTCCTCTAAAGAATTGCTCATGAAAATTTCTTTCTAGTTGCAGCCAATTATATATCGAATTGGGTGGCAACGAAGTAAACCAAGTAAACGCATTCTTAGTCAAAGAACTAGGGAAATATTTCATTTTTAATTCCTCGCTCATCGCTAGGTCCCCACATTCGATCTGATATCGAGCTACATGCTCGATAGTTGATTCACCAACTTCTCCAGCAAATTTAGTGAATTTAGGTACTTTGTATCCTCGAGGTAATTCCATCTCGAGAATCGCATTTGGAAAGGGAGACACAAAGTATGTTTGATTGGGCGGTCTAAATTCTATCCCTTGGAAATTCATCCTCTGTCCTAACATGTGGTTATACTGCATGTTATTCTGATTGTACATATTTTGAAATTCTTCATTCAGATTCCCACAAATACCATTTCTCATCTGTTGGTATTCATTCCCCGTATGTTGATCATTGTTTCGATTTCTCTTTAATAGATACGGGGGATTGGTATTGGCATTCTGGTTAGCATGATTTTCTACCCTTGTTCGTCGAAGTACAACTAATGCATCCCCGATTCGTGACATTTGATCTGCTAATATCTCAAAACTAGTAGTAGTGTTTTGAACTATTGAATTTAGGACTGTAGTCAATTATTGTGATAACATATTCACCATCTCAAAATTGCTCTCATCTATTTGTTGTCTAAGTATCCCTAATGAGTTACTGGATATCCCAGTACCAGTGTTTTCGATAGTCTCAAAATTGGATCGATGATAATCTCTATCGAATGTATACCTTCCATGTTCCAAATTTCCTCTATGGTCTAGATTTCCTCTATGATCTAGATTTGGAAGCGTTTGTTGTGTGCCTAAATTCTGTCCACTTCCTGAATTCTGGGGGATTACTAAATTTTGAGATGTCCCTAAATTTGGAGGGACTCCAAAATTTTGGGGCATGCCTAGTGTATGAGGCATTCCTAAGTTATATCTCGAACTCCGTTGTGTTGAAGAAGTTCCAGCCCCACTCATATTATTAAGCGAAAACCCAGGCGGTCTTACACTCATATATGGCCCTATATATGTTGTTGTGGGGTTTCCTATAGTTTGCATATTATTTGGTACCATCGCATTAGATCCTACTTGGGTGTTTGTTAAAGTACCTGAATTTTGTTCATTACTCACAGGTATCGATATACTCCCAGTTATCGATGTCACAGGCATATTCCCATTCTAACTTTGCCCCCCAGTGTTTGGTGAATGTACACCATTTAGACCCTCACTGTTACTTTGGTTATTTGATGAATTTTGACTCATTCTTATAACTCTCCCACTCCTTAATCTCATACACTCTCGAACTAACCGATTTTGTGTTTTCAACACAAGACAACCCCTACCTGGCGCGCCAATTTGTTTCTGGTGGAATTTCGATTGGTTTTGACCCCCAAGATGTTTTGATACTAACCAAAATTCTATCACGTAAGTTCTTTTTACTTAGGCTAGCAAATTAATTTTCAATCGAAATGCGTATGAGGATCGAACCTTACCAAGTATCGAAAATGCTACTTTTTGGTGTTTTGTATTTAAGATGCAGAAAGCAATAAAATGTCGAATCGAAAAACAATACAGAATACTAAATTGTTGAAACCCGTAAAATGCGGAAACCTTAAACAATATGTTAAATGTAAATGACAAGGAATCGAAAGAACGGAAATGTAAATGGCAAGGAGTCAAGATAGCAGAAAATATACCGGAATCGAAATTGCATTAATGTTAAAGGACAAGAAAACTTAAACGCGGAAACTTAACTTTCATTGAATTGAAATGACAAGGAATCGAAAGAACAAACATAAAATTGCTGAACATAAGGTGCATCAAAATAAATTACCAAGGAAAGTAAAGAAAGTGGTAAAGGTACTCGATGAGCATGGAAATCCAGATTGTCAGAAGCTTCATGATGTTCGTCGTTTCTCCGGTAGACTTTCTCACTACTGATTCTGTTCTCTGCCAATTTTTTGCCCCTTATTCCTTCCTCCTCTGCTCTATTTATAGGGCATCATTCAAGCCTTCCAGGAGCATTTAACAAAACTGCTACCACGTTCTACGTGCATGTTGCAGTTTATCTTCTATGGTTTCAATACTGTACCCACGTTCTCACGATCTTTGACTTCTACCATGGTTTAGAAACTGTTTTCCATATGTGCGCTTGACTGTTCTTCCCTTCACAATTTGGCCAGGGTTTCGATATCCACGTAGGTTACCCTTCCCCTCGATTTCGATTTTATCGAGAACTTTGAATTACTTTTGATTCCTTTTAACCTTAACATCATATACTTCTAATTTCTTGGTTTGTTCCACAATAAACTTTTGACTATTATTCCTTCGATTCCAACTCTAACTTTCGATTTTGTGTGCTACGCCCTTCTAATTGGACATCGAATGGTTTCTCATTCACCTCTTCGCTTTACGGATCAATCACATGTTTCTCGATTTTTCTTTCCTTCATTTTTTTGATCGCTTTTCTCGATTTCCTACTAACACCTAGTTCATTTAAAAAGAACCCACAATTAGTAATTATTATTAAGTTTAAATAAATTTATCAAAACAAAATGAAACTGTGACTCTATATATATATATATATATATATATATATATATATATATATATATATATATAAAAAAATTTGAAATTAAAAACGTAACCTAAGTAAGAGACATATCAAAGCAATTTTGTATATGGATTCCAGCCCAGGCCCAGTAGCCCGCCCACACACAAGAATAAGAAGACATATCTATATAATGCCCCTCATCCTGTAATAAATAAAAGAAACAATTTGCTCGCAATTTAGAAAAGGAACACCACGACAACCTTTCCATAGTCTTCGCAAGAGAAAGGAATCCCTTGCCACCTGTAACTCCGTTTCGGTGACGCTGTGTTTCATTCTCTGCTTCCTCGCTTGTTCTCTTTCTTTCGTCGTTCGATTCTTGGGATTATTTGATCGATCTTTCCCTTCCAATGGCAACCGTTACTGACAACACTAACAACATCCCTGCGCCGGAAAACCCTAACAAAACCCTAGACCACACAGCACCAGATCCAGTCCTTGACGCCACTGAGGCTGTCGATGCTACCGACAATGCGGAGGCTGCCGACGCCAAGACTTCTCCCCCGCCCGAATCCGGTAACGACGCTCCGCTCTCCGATACTCAGAAGAAGATTCGCCGCGCTGAGCGATTCGGCATTTCCGTCCAGTTGTCCGAGAAAGAGAAGCGCAATTCCCGAGCTGAAAGGTCAATTTCCTATCTCTCCCTAATTTCACTCTTCGATCTTTCAAATTTACATTCAGTCGACTTTGTTGTTGTCCTCTTTTACCTTTCGGTGTTGGTGTATTGATTTATATACCCTATTTTTGTGTATCAGAATTTAGGTTTATCTCAATTGAGTATCTTCTTCACGTGCAGGTTTGGCACTGGGGCAGCTACGCAGGGATCAGAGCCGTCAAAATCGGAGGAGTTGAAGAGGAAGGCTAGGGCAGAGAGGTTCCACTTTTCAGTTTCCCCTTTTTGTTTTTGTCATTAACTTCTATTTTTCACTGTGAGTGAAAATTAACACTGTTGCTTATCCTGCTTCACAGATTTGGAATGCCTTGTCCTACTACTGCGGCAGATGAAGAGGCAAAGAAGAAAGCTCGACTTGCTAGGTTTGCACCTGCTTCCAAAGTTGATCCTCTAGAAGAAGATAAAAGGAAAGCAAGGGCACTTAGGTGGGTGCATGTCATAGTATGGTTCTCCCATTTCATGTTGCTTGTGAGAATCGACCATGCATGGTGTCTTATTAGGTCTTTCTGTTGTTTTTGTTCCCAGGTTTGCCAATCCATCATCAACTTCTATATCCAATGTTAATGGCGAGGGAAACATTGAGCCGGTAAGACCCTTTGGACACTTCCAATGCTTTGAGTTATATAGAAAGAAACTATGGTTGTGTTTGATTTCTTTTTTCAAAAAAGTTTGTTCAAAAGCTGGTGAATGGTGATGCCAAGACACAGTATAGTGTGAAATTGATGAAAATGTTGAAAAGAATGGAAAACAAAAGAACATTTGAAAACGTCTCCCAACTGTAACACTTTTTTTTAGTTTTGATGGCATTTTTTTCTGGAAACAACTTTCAAAACCTAATGGATTTGATTGCCAAGGGTAAAATTACTTTTAAAACTGTTTTTAATACTTAAAATTGAGAAGGGAATCAAACAAGTCCTATATTTTAGTGTTGACTGTTCTGTTTGTGTTTCAAACTGGAAGGCTGCTATTGAAGGCAAAGCTGGAGGAGGTACCTGAATGACTGGTTGCGTAGTTAATTGTAGGAATTTTTCTTGTAAGTTAATGGCCTTCTACTTCTTGTGTTCAGTTTTGGCCTGATTTGTGATTTTAATTTCAATTTTTGTTTGAGACTTTTTTTCTTTATTTTTCTGCAGTTTTTAGGTTTTAGCAGTTGAAGATATGCAGAGCAACCTCCACACTGTTTCCACTTTTCAGCACATTAATCCTGGACATGTCGCTGATACCTTCCTATATGAGATTAAAGGGATTCTAGTGGTCTGAAGAAGCTTGTTTTTTATTTGTCATAGTGTTGGCTTAGGTGACCGCCGTGGGGTAATTTTGGCCATCTTCATTGGGTTACTTATCTTAAAATTTGCGAAGTTTTGAATTTTGGAATCTACAGCTTAAAATTTTAATGAACGAAGGTATGAAGGAACAAAGCTTTTGAAATGTCATCCACCCACTGTTTCTAATCTTTTGCTTTTGAAATGTGCCATTACCATTGTGTTAGAAGGTATTACCAGATAGCTTTTTTAACTCAACATCATGCTGATCCAGTCTATTAGCTAGGAAAGGTATGTTGCTTAATGTCTTTGAGAAATGTGATTGAATAGGAAAATAAGCCCTCAAACAGAAAAGCATGTACTTAGGATGAGCTTGTTTCTGGTTGATGGTCTTAACATGTTTTGGGCATTATGGGGGAAGAGGGAGCTAGAGGTTAAGATTTCATCATCAGTATTGTTGATTCACTTTCTTGTATGATTTTTCGATGGCTATAGGGGTGATTGCTCCTCAATACTGTTATGGCTTGTGTGTGAAATTGCTTCAATCCTAGTGTCCTTTAAGTTGTTCGTTAATGTTTGTTTATGCTTTATTAGCCACTTTTAGATTTTTATCATGATTAGATCTTATTATAGAGTAGCTATTAAAGCACATTTCATGGATTAGATGCATGTTTCTGGAGAAGGGATCAGTGGATTATGTTTTGGTGCTTGTAGAAATGTTAATGTGTTTGGTCTAGAGCTATTGGACAACGTTATGGATCAGCAGAAATGTTGAAAGCTCAAGTTCCTGGTATTATCTTATGGCATTCAGGAAAAAATGGGTGAATAATGGTAAGCTGAATGTTCGAAATGAAAACCTCAAGGCGTGGCTGGATACTGAAAATGTTTTTTAAGTACGTTTCAAAACTCGGTTTATTTTCAAGGCTGTGGCTTCCAATTTTTATCATCTTTGTTGTTGCGTTAAGATAAGTCAACCCGTTGAAGATGTTTAGCAGTTTACTTGATTGTAGATTTGTTGTAGGGGTGGATGTGGAGGAAACTCTTTACTTTTTGTTTAAATATTAATTTACTACCTTGTAATTTATGTTTAAGCTTTTTGTTGATGTTTGGAGATTAAAATATTATGCTAGCTAGTATAAATAAATTCAATGACCATTACTTAATGCAATACATGTTTAAAAGATGACCTTCCTAGATTATATGAAACATTATTTGTCATATTGTAAACTCCTCTGCGGTTAATTTTTTTATAGTATCGCCATGAAAGAAGAAACTAGGAAAATTACCGTCTAGGGAGGTGGAGTACATCATGGGCATTTACTTCCAATTCCCAATCTGAGGCTCCTTACAATACATATTTTATAAAACTTTATTTGTTAAAATGTACTGGTATTCGTAAAACTAAGAGAGGTCTATTTTGTACTGTTAATGTACCAAACTGTGACTTGTAAGTTTTATTTAATAATAGCATGTTAGGGTTTGTTGTTAACCATCTTATCCATAGTTTTATTATTAATTTTATCTTACATTTTATTTATAATAGTGTTTCATGACTAACATTACGTGTGAAATGCTTTTTGAATAGTATAAATTTAAAATTTTAGGTTCCTATAAAAAATATCAATATTTAAAAAAAAAATGGAAGAGGTTCAGTTTAGTCTGCACATGATGTAAGTTGGTTATGACGTATTTTCTTTCACCTAACATGCACAAGTGTATTGTATAGAACTCATCTTGTAAACGTATGACTTCCTGGCATAGTCTTCTTCATTAGCTCTACTAGCGTTTAATACTTTTTAAACACGTAAGTAAAGCAACAGACTTTTTTATACTTTTTTTTTTCTTCCATTGTCTTCAACGTTGGCTCGTGGAGTGATGAAAACAAGTACATTCATTATAAATAATGTTAAGACTCTACTAAAACTAGTAATATTAAGTTTATTTTAAATTATGTATTTTTCCAACATCATCCTTACAAAACTAAGACATGCTTTTATTCTTTTGTTAAATATTATTTTAGTTTTTAATTTTTAATCTCTTTGATTATTAATATATTTATTGTTTGAATTTTTTATATATATGTGAATACTTAAAAAGTACGTTTTCATTATGTTATTTATAAAAACATACTACAGCATGTTGAATGTAACTAAGGAATGAGTCACGAAGGAATCTTTGGAATTATATCATTGGTATAAGTGACATACATTGTATATTGGAATTGATAACGTCTAAAAATGCATTAGTATACGTTTGTGAGATCTCAAGGATATGAGGAGGATTAATGCAACTTAAACAAGACACTATTGAGGAGGAATTAACAACTTTCTGAATATACTTACACATCACAAGGAATAGAGGTATCAAGTTAGGTTCTCTAGACGGGGACAAATAACTAGCAAGTATTGACATAGAGTGTCTATTGCAATTTTAATGTTATAAAGTAATTTTCTTGCTAATTTGAACCAATTTTTCAAGATTATATAAAGTAATACATTTATATATGTTGTTGTAGTATGATGGGAAGGAAGGAGGGATGACAAAAAGTTAGTACGGACATATTGCTATATCAATCTACTTCAAAAGTAAGAGGATAGATTGATAAGTTTAACTCACGTAATCTGGTAGGTTTCTATTTTAAAAAAATATTTATATATTAAAATTAATATAAAAAATATAATTTAAAATATTATATTTTTATGTTATATGTAAATATATTATAATATTATAATTTAAATTATAAATATTATCTAATTAAATTTAAATTATTAATTATAATTATTTATTTTAATATATAAATATAATAATTTTTTATTTTATATAATAAAAGTACTAATTAATAAATAAAAATTTAAAAAATTATTTATATAATTAAAAGTATATTTAAATATAATATATATATATATATATATATATATATTATATAAAAAAATAGTGATGAATTTACCTAGTGAATCAATCTTTTAACGGAATATATTAGGATATATAATCTATTATGAATCAATCTGTTCCACTTATTTTTTATAGACTAAAAACAAGAAAATTCAAATGACCTATTTTATAAAAATAAAAAAAAGTTTGACTTCATACTGTAAAATTTTACGTGATGTAATAATAAGGCTAAATATTTAGTTGTTTCTATTGGTGCGAAAGAATAAAATTTTTATTTTAGTTATTGCCAATGTGAACATTATATTTTTAATATAAATTTTTAATATTTTTAAATAATGTTATTAGATTCATTCTACTTTATCGATGATGGTTACATGAATAGAGCGCACTTTCTTGTCACATATAAAGGTGAATAATGGAATCCATTAACGTAGTTGGAACAATGGAACCCATTAATGTAGTTGGAACAATGGAACCTGAGTGAAGTCAAATGAGACATGTGTTTGCAGAAGGTATATATTTCTTGATTGGAGAAAAAGATCTAGAAATTAGCGAAAAAGTAGTTTAATTAGAATTTTAAAATGCGGTGAAGTTTGCATTCTACTTCTTTGAACTTTATCTTATGTGTAATTTAAGCTTATTTTAATTATTTAAAATGTTATCATGTTGTAATCTTTAGTTATGAAAGGTGAAGTTGTGAATAATGATCAACAACCATTGAATAACTCAAAGATACACATAGTTGGACTGAAATTAAAAAGGAAACTTTGCTCAGAGGAGATGGTGGAAGTTGGTGAAAAAGATAAGGATAGGACAAAATAATATGCCTGTAGTCTGTTTCTATTCACAGTGGATACTACTAGTAACTATTTGAAATTAAGGATATTTCAGTATTCCTTTTTCAATTATAATCTTATTCATTGTTATTTTTTTAATTTATGTGAAGAAATTCAAGCATGTCTGTCATTAGAAGATCTCAGCAAAACAATGTTTACAGGAACAAAATAGTATGCGAATCACTAAGCTTAGCTGTTATGTGCCTTTGGTTGAGCTTGAGCATGAGCAACCTGAGGCGTAGACTCGTAGTAGGAAACACTAGATAACAAAATACGTCTATCTCTCATTCATTACTGTTTCATTTTAGTCTCCATAAATGTAATTTTCTGGTTTTTAGCATCCTTTGAGAACAGGTTTTGAGAAATTTATTCCATGATAATCTTCAAGCTTCAACAATAATCAATCACAAACTGCTTCACTTTAAGGACTTGAAAAGCATGCTGCGGTTGTGGAAGTGTGATGTTATGTTATTTGTCTATGTTTAACAATTGTGTAAACAGGAAGTTCATAATTGTTTGTCCTAAAAGTTGGCTGAACCACCTCCTCTGATTGAAAGAGGAGAAGCCAATAGAGAACTATTATCTATGAGTTTGGGATTTAGATATACAACAATAACTGTAATATCATCGTGGAAGTGTCTCCTCACTCCTTGTTCAATCTTTTGCAGGTCTGCAACTCTCATTTCTCTCTTCCTGGCTGCTTCTCGAAGTGCAGCTTTCACAAGTCGCCTAGCAATACCCTGATACATGAATCAGCACCAACCAATAGTCTTCAGAAAGGACTCTTACATAATGAGAGAAAACACACACACACACACACACACACATATCCTTTAAAGGAACCTTACATTGCGTGGGTTATTGCTGACTATATTCACAACTTCTTGGTTGCTAAGTTGCTCCCACAAACCATCAGAAGCAAAGATGAGAAATTGATCTTCAGGACCAAGTTTATGAACTGATATTGCTGGTTCATAACTAAGAATTGGCTTAAAGAAGGGTTCAGGTAGTCTAAACTTGGGAGGTAGAGGCTCCTTGTTAAATTCGTCTTTCTTCAGATATGCATCACCTATGGATCTTGAAACCTGCAAAGGCTAAATCTGTTAACTTCGAATTGTCATGTTTTTCTTGTTGCAGCTTATATAGCCTTCTAAACAATCATAACCACTCATGCATTGACACTCATCATTCTACCTATAATTAAACAAACAAATTACTTTTACTCTAGATTTTTTTTAAGTCCTTTTGCTTAAAGGGGTTGGTTCTCGAATCTATCGTTAGGTGACAGTTTACTTCAGTGGAAATCTGATGTTTTCTAATTCTTGAAAATTGAAGTTTGAAAAAAAGAAACAATTGCAGAAATCTTAGTCGTTAACAACTAGTGTAATGAATCTCTCAAAATTGTACCTGTATGAGGCCTTTCACACGCCAAACATTGTGTTTCTTAACCACGATTTGTGGATCATAGGGGTGCTTTGTCCGAAGTTCATTTCTCTCCATTAGGATGTTAACGTTGTGCTCTGCAGATAATTGGATAGCTGTTGTTTCTCTTGTTGCTCTCTCTACTCTCCCCAGCACCGCCCTTGAGTCTCCTGCATTTGCAACATATAACATGCCATTGCAAATTATCCCCGCCAAACAACATGTACCCGTGGATGCAATCTGTGGCTTGCTTAGCCACTGCTTCTTCACAACTGACAGAAAACCCTCTTCTGTTGCAGAAAAGGCCCTTCGTATAACATTCTCTGATATGCCTTGTTGCTCAGCTGCGAAACCTGCTTCACACAGAAAAATGGACCAACACAATGATATTAACGAGAGAGCAAAATTATTTGTGTTTTGCAGTAAGTTTCTCAAACATCTATGCTTTTAATTTAACTTTGTCTTTATGCACGATACTAATAGCAATTTCAGTTTTCACAGTCAAAAGTATGGTCAGATTATGCAACTTTGCTCCCTGTAATGGCTTTAATTTAGAATACTTGGGAAGCAAGAACATATTAATGGATTTTCACAGTCTTCAATTCATGCGAAAAGCATCAGATAGAAAAACTGAACTTTCAAAATAAACACACATATGGTTACAGTAAAGTCGAGGGCATATCATACTCTTGAAATTGCAGAAGAGATTGTCACTGACAAACCGTGATGCTGCGGTGCCACCATGACCATCATATACACCAATAAAGGTTCCTTGAGGACCCAAATTGTCAGAAGTCAAAGGTCCAGATTCAAGTTGGCTACGATCCTCCAATGAACTGTTAGCTTGAATAACAGCCATTGAGAATTCCCCATAAAGATGGTTCCCCAAATCCTTGTACCATAGCAGCCCTTCAACTCTCCCATTCACATCACCATCATCACCCACCGAAGCTGGCTTCCAGCAGGATCTAACCATAGTTTTTTGGGCAGTCCCTTAAACTAATAAAATAAGAAAAAGTTCTCTTCAGCTGCTTATGCTTCACACGATCTCTTCTCCTGAAGTTATATTATATACCTAGTAAAAGCAGATATCATAGGATAAAAACAAAATTTAGCTAAAAACCAAATTGGTATGGGGCAAACTAACTGAGAAGTATACCTTGGGATGAGAAGCCAAGTAACTTTCATGCAAGTTCAGAGAATACTGAAACGTGTTGGTTGTATGTACCTTGAACCTAAGCTGCATGCATTTGGAACTTCGTGGTGTGCCAATTTTCAGCAACAGACTTAGCTGTAAAAGCACATAAGGTCTCGATATGGCAGAGTTGGTCTAGGATTTGAATGATAAAGGGGAGCAATGGATAAGAGAAAGGTTTTGGATCTTTTTGACAGAGGATCTTCAGAGCACTGAGGCTAGATCTAAGATCAGAAAGTGAAAAGAGATTTAAACTACAAAGTCTGACATTGTAACTCATGTCCTTTCATTTGTCCCACATGATTTTAATGTTTTGTGGCCATGTGGGTTTCCAATCCTTTCATGGCTGGGATTTCAGTTCCATCACATTAAAAAGGTATAATCCTAAGTGTTAGGTAACTTTGCTTGTCTACCTCTTCCACTTTCCATTTTTCTGGGTAAACGTCAACTTTGCTTTAACTTTCGTGATAATTCATGACTTTACTAGATATAGAGTCTAGGACCCACGGGTTTTGTGACCCTCTTGCAATAATGGGTTCATGCACTTGATCTTTCCACTGTAATACTTATCTCCAGATTTCTGTTAAATATCACTTTGTTTACCTTTACAATCGTTTCCAATACGTCTGAATTGTAAGAAAAATAATCAAAACCTAGGTAAGTGTAAATATGTGATAAAGAAAAATGTTTCTAAAAGTGGTCCTTTAACACTACTTACCTAATTAACTTTTACCAAAAACATGTTCCATGATTGTCAAATAGATTTAAGTAAAAAGGGCAAAGTTCACGTTGCCTTTAACCTAACAAATTTAACCAGGAAAAGAAAATGAACCATACTAAAAGCCATATCATATCTAGTAGTATAGTATGTGCCATTATAGTACCAAATTAATTCACCCAACTCCTCCTGTTTAGTCATTTCATTTCGATACGGATCAGCCTGGAATTTCTGTCACCGACTCACTGCATAATGAATCTGTATTTTTCTTCATTTTTTATAGTCAAATTTTAGATTTGTACAACCAAGAGAGCAAGCCTGGTTTGATGAACCTCACCTACCAGCATCTATCATGGTCTAATAAGCTTTGCAACTTTTTTATTTCATGTATACTTTTGTTAGGCAAATTCAAATACCAAACCTAAATACTTCTCTTAACAGATATTTAAATCCTAATTGGCAAAGATTAACACCTCCCCTAAACACAACCCTTTTGGTATAAGCTTTGAAAGTTATGATTGAGAAGGGTCACCAGAGACTTCAGCTGTAGCCATCACAAAAGTATATACGCGGATGAAGACACCTTGGAACTTGAAATCATGCATGCATTCACTGTACACAACAATAGACTATGGTTTTCAAATTCCCTCACCATCAATGTTTGCGGTCATCTGATTATTTGGTGAACGTGTACTAGTTAGCCAGCAATAGTTTATGGAAATAAAAGTAATTATAAGATGGATTTGTCCATTGTATATTGTGGTTATGGATAGTGGCAAAATGAATGATGGGTGTGTATGGGTTCCACCTATAATAAATTTGGATGTGTGCTCTTCAGAGAATAGTAAGAAAACAGGACTCATGATAGAACATATATATATATATATAGTTATCAGCAGATTTTCAGTGAATAGTCAGGCTTGCAGGTGGGCTTGTCAACTCAACCCCACTCAATATGGAAACATGTAAAACATAGATCCAAATTAAATTATTGCTCATTCTAACATCTTCAAATTTCTACCATACTTTCCTCCTGATGTTGATTTTTTAATTGTTTTGAAAGGGTCTCTTGATGAAATTAGATATATACAAGATAGACTAGGTTGACATGTTTGAAGTGAACCACTGATTGAGACTGAGTTTTAGTGTATATTTCCAAAACTTCACTCTGAATTAGGTCTGAACTGCTTTTAATCTGCTTTCTTTTCAATGAAATTTAGACATTATAGAAAATAAGTACCACCAAATACTCTTCTTTACATGTAATCAGGATTTTTACCATTGAATGTATACATGTTCCTACAAATCCAAATTTTGAATAATAGATTAGTATCTCAATTATATAATGTAAATTTATTATATTTTTATTCGATACGAAATCTCTAATATCTTATTTCATTAATATGTCTCCTCAGCATGAAATTAAATATTAAGAAATAGTATGATAACAGTTCAATTATAAATGAAATGATAGACCAATAAATTTTATTAGAATAAACTTTAATATTATATTAAAAATAAAAATATATTTATTTTTTTTAAAATTATTTTATAAGATAATTTTATATCTCAATTATATATTTTAAATTAGTGATTCGTAATATTTATAGAAATGTAAAGTGAGTTTGATTTCCAGATATAAAATGCAAACCTCATAAACAACGATAATAGTTTGTTAGTAAGATAGTGACATATCACTGTATTTTGGAATTGATTCATTAGTCCAAAAATTTATATGTGTATTGACTTTGATTACCATTTGTGATTTGAATTAATAAAGTGTTTCAATAAAAATATACCATTTTAGTCCAGTTTATAATAAATTAATCATTAAACAATATTAAGAGAATTGTTTTAAAAAGATAACATCTTAAATATGAAAACTTTTTATCTTTAAATGTTTTATATCCTTAATACATGATCAATATTTTTTTAGCATCAAATAGTTATTTTTAATTTAAGTATCTAATAAATTATAAATTTTTGGTTTAGGTTCTTGAAGATGATACTTCTCTTTTTTATTATATTATTTTTTAATTAATACTTCAAATATTTTAAAATTTATCTTTTAATTTTTTACATAAAAACTAACTTAATATCCATAATAGTTAACACTCTAAATAGTGTGATATCCGTTTTAATATTGCGTGGTGGCATACAACTTTATTTTCATAATATTTATTAAATGTTTTTTAAATTTTACGGTACAATGATTAATAACTAGAAATTTGCAATGTTTAATATATGTAATCTTTTATTCATATTTCAATTGAATATAATTTATATCTTCTTAAATGCATAATGGTCACTCAGGTTATGATCACTCAAATTATTATATGCTGAAAAATCATTTTATCTAATAACATTTTATGTAACCTAAAATTGATTTCATAGCTTTATCAAAGACCTCTACCTCTTTTCCTACAACATCTTTAAATTATAAATCAAAATACTAAGATATACATTTATATCATTTATATAATATATTTTCTCTTCATGTATAATTAAGGAGACAAATTGTAAATAATCAACAAAATTGATTATGAACTATTAAGATTCTACTTGAATCCAATAAGAATGAAACTTTAACCACCACAAATGAGACACACTATACATATTGTTGCTTCACTTTGGTTGAAAATAATCTTGAAGATGTTACAATGATTGTTAATTGATTCGAAAATCCTCATGCAAGTGAAAAAGAAATTATTCTAGATGAAATAAAGTATAAATTTTACGTTAAATCGACATGAAAATTATTTTTTACATTGGTTAAAAGGAGATTAATGTAAAAAAAATTATGTCAATTTCTGTAAAATCTAAGGTAAAAACTTTGTTATTATTTATAAAAATATTATCACAAATTTTTTAAGTAAATTATTTTATAGTAAAAAATTTACTTAAAAGAATTCAATTTACACTAATAAACTCAAGAAAATTGAGGAGTTACATATATTAAAATTTTGAAATTTATTAAATTATTTAATACAAATAAAAAAATGAAACAAAAGCATAAAGGAATTGAGTAAGATTATGATAGACAAACACATGGTTCTTGATCTTTAAAATCATGTATGTACGATAAGAATGAACAGTTTTTTCTTTTTAATAATGGATTTCATAAATGAAATCGTACGTGTGACTTGAAAACCTAGTTCACATTATTTTATTCTTTAAAAAAAATAAAGTTCATATATTATTTTATATGGATAATTAATTACTTTTAAATTTTTCATATTTCTATTTAAACTGTCATAAACATATATATTTTTTCATTATGACCTTAAAAAATGAGACGTGTCAAGACAATAACCCTGTCTTGCAAATTGGTTAAGCACCATATTTCATTTCATAATTTTCCATAGTTTTGACCATTTAATAAATAATATGTAAAAATCTCATTAAATTTTTTTATAGTGGTCCATATAAATGCAGTCGAAAATTTATGAAGAATTTTACATGATTAATTTAAAAAAAAATGTTGATATTTGCTTGAATGTTATCATGAAATATTCCATTTAATGATAAAATATTAAAACTAAATTAAAATCATGGACGAGATGTTCTTAGATTTTCATTTGTGAGAGGTCAATTTCATATTTAAGAATTTAGAAGATCTGAATTGGTAGCAAAAACTCTTCAACAAAATTTTGAATAATACAATAACATTGGTACATGGGATGCTCGATTGTTCGAATGCATGTTACTTGTTTGGGTCAATTGTTGGTCTTTCTTTGTGAAGCAACTCATCATGCAATCTTTATTTCCAAGGTAGTAAGACTAGAATGCCCACCAACTCTTTAACTAGTATATTATACCCCAATATCTTTAATCATTTTTTTATTCTTCAAAACTTTATGATTTTTGTTTTATCCAAACGAATTTTCTCAAAACCTTTTTTTTTTTTCCATTTGTGAAAGTGACATTCAACTTGCTTCATATAATATAATATGATATGGAGTTGATGTGAATGGTTATGTGACACCTATATCTTCATTTTACTTTCATATCCCTAACTCTTAACTTTAGAAACCTTAACTCTAATTCTTGATGATTCATTTTCAAATCTATGCTATTCTTTTCAAATTTATTTCATCAAGGATTTTCTATAAATGGAAAACTTATTTGTGAAAGAAAAAATTGATAATAATTGAGAAAGAGATTGTGAAAAAGAAAAAGAAAAAGTGGGATCCAAAAAATTTCAATGAGGGTTGTAAGTCATATAAAAAAGAGGTAATAAGTAAAGAAATGTTAAAATTATCTATTGAACTTATTTCACATGATAATAGTACTATAATAGTTGCTACAACCCTTAAGTTAAGAAGTGTAAGTGTTAACCTACCAAAATTGTGTAAACATAACATGTTTTGCTATGTAATGATTTTTGTGATGTTTGTAGGAAGATAGAGAAAGAGGGCATAAAAGCAAGTGCAAAGTGAAAGGTGGAGAGTGAAGTCCTATAAATGTCAAATTAGTGTATTTTTGTGTACTATATGACATGTGAGTGTGGTCCTATTTGTAGTGAAGAATGAGAGGTTTAGCAAATGACATGCTACATGTTACTACATTTGTTCTCTGTGCCTCTAATGTTAGTACCAATTTTTGAGAAAATGTACTATTAGGTAGATAATTAGAAAACCAAATCATATATATAAATGTATAAATAATTAACCCTAGTTATGAAAGTATTTAAAAAATGTGTGCAATTAATAGCTAGAACAAATTATTTAATTTTATTTATGAAATATTAGTTTATTTATACTATCTTTAATATTAATTATCTAAAATTATGGTTTATTTTGAGTTTCTTGAGTAGAATTCATGAATCATATCTTAAAGGTTTGTCTAACTTCTTAAAATCATTATTTGAAAATTCGAATTGGATAGGTAGATTTAACTAATGTAATTAGAATAGCTGTAAAAAATTGGTTTGTTACTTTTAAATAATCAGATTTTAATTAAAATAAAATTAAACTAAAAAGATTGGGACAAAATTGGATAATAGTTTGGTCAAACTAATTTTAATAAATAAAAAAATTAAGATCAAAATTTTATTAATATAATTTTTTTATAAAAAATATAATATATTTTAGTTTTTTTATCTCATATTAATTACATCAATTTTAAATAATAATTATTTTATTTTAATAATTATTCATCTTATCTCTTTAATATTTTTTATATTTATATTTTTATTATAATTTAAAGTAATGATAATAATAATAATATATATTTTTTTATTTTCTTTTATTAAAAAAATAAATTTTATTATATATTTATTATATTATAAAAATATTATTTTATTAAATACAATTATTTAAATCTTAGAATCCATTGATAAAAGAATCTAGTTGTAAAAACATTAATTTCAAAGTAACCGCGTCTTATTTTTTTCCTCTCCATGTTACCAATTTTTCTCCTACAATGCAACTTCCATTTAAAAAAAAAATCTTAATGATTTGACAAAAACATTTTAATTATATATTTGGGTTGAGTTCATTGATTATAAAGCGGTTAACTGAAAAATTAAAACCCAAATATTAATACTAACAAATCTAAAACTAAAAATTCCAAAAAATAAATCATTTCGAATTTCCAAATAAGTATATTTTTTCATTTCTAAAATTATGATCTAGATATTTTATTTTTACATCTTTCATACCTGTAAAATCAGCATTTGTCTTTATTTACTAGAAACACGTTTAATTAAAGATAGCTTGTTCGAAAAAAAGGTTGAATAAAGGTATATATCTTAATGTAATGATCAAAATGTGTAAATTTAGTTTTAATCATTTATATTTGAATAGTTATATTACTATTAGCTTTATAATAATGGCTTATAAATTATATTTGATATTTACCTTATTTTTTATTATGTTTATTTAATATTTTATTTTAAAATAAAAATAAAAACTAAAACCGAAAATTAAGTCAAATTAAATAGTTTTAAGTTGGATTAAATTTAAATTCTAACTCAAGTTAATTGAATGATAGAATAAGAAGATTGAAGAAAGGAATTTCACAGTTGACTCATGTGTTTATGGTCGGTCACATGTATGTCATTTAAATAATTACAATAATTTATTGATTTTATATTTACTTAACAAATCATATATTAGTTATTTCAATAGTAGTATTTAAAGCAAATATTTATAAGAATAAATCTATCATTTTCATCATTATCTTAGGTCATTTTCACAAATACAGTTTTTCTTTATTTCTAGCTTTACTTTACTTTTTAATATAATATCATCTACTAAATATTAAATTAATAAATAAACAATTACATTTTCCTTCTCTGAAATTATACTAAATGATACTTATTTCTCATGTTATTTTTAAATAATATATATATATAGTAAATATATTTTTATGAAAAAATTAATAAAGGTAAATATTCATTTAAAATTAAAGGAATAATATTATAAATATATGAGGGTCATTTATTGGAACCTAACAAAATGTGAGTATAATAACAAATCATGTGAAATTAATGATTTAGAAATAAACAATCATGTGAAACTAAACTTTTAAATTTAATTCATTTGAATAAGCTTGAACACAGAGTCAGTTTTATCCTTATATAGATCCCTCCCTCATCATCCATGATGTAGCCACGTTTGGCCACCATCAATGATTTGTGATTTCTGCCAACTCACCACTATGCTCAAACGCCAAGTCTAAATGCAAGTTATCACATTATTCAGTATTCCAAGATTGCACACTGTATGCACAAAAAAAGACAACATCACCAAAAAATGTTGGACCCAAAGTTCAAATCCTTAGCAGGCTTTCTGTGATAAAAGAAATCATAACTTCAAATATATTATTTTAAAGATATGTTTTGATAAATTTCTCCATAACTTAGCCTTATTAATATCTCAATATGCAAGTTAATTTGGGCCAGCTTTAATTATTAATTGGACTTGTTCTCAATGCATCTTTTGCTTCAAATACTCTTCCATTGAATGGTTCTTTATTACAATGTTGCTGGTAAAGTCACAGCAACTAATGCCAGTCTTATGATGCTTTTAAGCTTAAACTAGAAACCCTGAAAGGCTGAAACACATGTTAAGTTTGAAGGACAATACCTGCTATTATTATCTTGGATTCGGATTATGACTAATAATTTCGGGTGGAGCTTGAACAGGGCTCGATTTTGAGCTTGAAACTGAAAGCCTGACATAGAACCAAAAAACACTGCCAATAAATTCAATGATATGATCCAAAATTTCATCAAAGGCAATGACTCCAATTTCAGATTGAACACCTGTTTTCTTCCTTCTTCAAATTATCAGGGCTCTGATTTGGAGTCTTGCATAGGTCTGAATCACAACTTGAAGTATCATCACTTAACAGAGAATCACAATCTTTGGTAGTAAATGGACTGTTGTGAGTCTGAACAAGTACATGTTCTTGTGCCACATTGTGGTTGTGGACTTCATTTTCTAACAAAGCTGGATTAACTGTATGAGCTTTTGTCTCATTTGCTTCTGAATCTCTAGAAGTGCAAGCCGCACTACATAAAGATGATCCACAAAAATGTTCACATTTCTCACCCGCATGACGTTTTTGCCATGATGGGGTGAAACATTCAAGCTTCTTCTTTAAAAGCTTAAGCTTTCTTTCTGCTTTGTCTCTTAGTTTTATCTCTTCTTTAAGCATCTTTTCCAGCTCATTAAACTGCTAAACATGAACAACCCAAGATTTTTATTTTCAAATATAGGGAGAGAAAAATAAAATCCCAGAGTAAAGCTTATCAAGCAAAAACTAAAAAGTAATGTCAACTAAATTGTCTCATCATGAATGAAACAACTAGCAAAGTATGAAAATTACCTTGTTGCACATTGATTCTGCTTGTTCGTTGGCAACCCTTGAAGCCTGTCTCTCTGCAAGTAATCTCCCTCTGAGGCACTCCACAGCATTCCAACTATCATGTCCTTCCATTCTCTTGCCACTGAAAACTTGAAACAATGTGAGTTCCATTTTTTTTCTTGCCAGTGAAATAACCCATTTTAAGGAGTAATGTGTGTGTGAGTGTGAAAGAGAGAGAACTGAGAAACCCACCTCCATGCGTGATTCTGCTTGATTGTGGCAGGTGCTATTGACTTATTCTCTGTCCTTTGGCCGCAGCAAGTTGCCATCTTCGAGTGTTGCAGACAACTTCTGGTGCTGCCTGTGATCACGGCTTCAGATCAGAACTCAACGTCTCTTCTCACTTTCACCGTTGTTGCTTCATAGTAAACTAGGAAAGATGGTGATTCTAGTTCTTTTGAGAGCAGAATAAGATTTGTGCAATGTACAAATTCATAAATATTAACTCATTTAAAAATGAATTGTACAAAATGACTGATGCAATATACAGATAAAAAAAGAGCTTGTTAAATTTTTACTTGCCAGAATCGATTTTTCTTCACTTTTAATTTTTGTTTCTCTACTATTAACTCTTCTCATTCATTCTAATTATGGTAACATTGGAATCTTCATAAGATATATCAGCAAAATTATTAACTTAGCGACATTATTAATAGTGTAAGGTCAATACTAATGTGTCAGAAACTAAATTAAGAAAATATATACATTTATATGGATTAAAATAAAAAATGTCTTATTTATGATAATTCAAATTAAATCATAAATTTTGTTTTTATTTTAAAAGGTGATATGTGATTATATAGAAAAAATATATATTAAAAGGATCATCTTTCTATTCCATAAAACAAGTTTAAAATTCTAAATGTTTTCAATGATAAGAAATTCTAAATTTTAATAGCAGATAAATGTCAGTTCATTTATATATATATATATATATATATATATATATATATATATATATATATATATATATATATATATATATATATATATAATTCTGAAACATGTTATTTTCGTACATAAAATTGTATATTTAACTTTACTTATTTTACGTGTTTTTAACACATCCATCAAACTATAATACTTTCAAGAATTAAAATTTGAAATTAATAAAGTAATAATTACAAACAAATTTGTTTGTTTATTATTGTGATTTTTTTATGATAATAATAATTATTTTTGTTTTTAATATTTATAAATATGTTATTTTTTAAGTCTTTTAAATATTTTTTTAGTCATTTGAATATTTTTTTCAAAAATTATTTATGAAAAATATTTTTTAATATTTATAAATAATATACATTTTTATTTTAATCCTAATAAATTATAATTTTTATTATTTTGTTTCCTAATTAAATCATTTATTAACTTGACATTTTTGCTTAAACCAACAGTATTAAAGTTATAATTTTGTTGATTCTCGAGAGAAGATATTAACATCACATCATGATAATAATTACAAAAAATAAAAATAAAACAAAATTAAAGAAAATAACAAAAATAATAAGAAAAAGACCAAAACTAAAACATACCAAATAGTTAATTATGGAAGTTTACTGGTAGAGACAGTGTTGTAAGTGGTAAAACATAGGTCGAATTTCTCTTGATTTATATTCAACTTTTGATCCTGTCTCAACCAAAATTATCGAATTCTTGGCGATTATTGAACTGAAGTTAAACACGATCATTAATAAATTTCTTCTATCCAAACATAATATATTTTGAAACAGAGGCAAATTTTTTATACTATGGAAAAACTGTAACTTTCACTGAACAATTGAATTGAAAACTTGAGCTTTTGTAGTATGCTCTATCATCTCATGACACAAACAAACACACAATGTTACTGATTTTCGTGAAAAATAGACACGCCTAATTCACCGACATTTATTGGTTTCTGCGAGTTACATGATATCTTTATTTTTTTTTATTGTTTTTCAAAATTCAAAAACATTTTTTTAATCAAGGTATTTACACCCTTTTAACTAAGGACACAGAAATATGCATTCAAATATGTTTTTCTTTTCACCTCACGGGCGAACGCTTACTTCAAAAAATTCTGAAGACTCTAAATTTATCCATCATAAATAATAACCCAAAAAAAAAAGCTTCAATATTTAACAACCAATGAGCAAAGTTTAGTGGTCCAAGAAAAGTTTTCTCAATCAACATCATCTATATATTTGCAAGTATAAAATTGAATTGGATATGGGTACAAAATTACCAAATGGGGGAGTAGGACCAAGTCGTAGTTATCAATTATCATACCAAACTATGCATGCATTCAGAAAGTACTAGAGAGAAACACTGTTCAAATTCATCTTTCCACTAAAATAACAATGAACTATGAATTACCATGATGAGGTTTCGTGTTAGGCAACGTTTTACTTGATTTGAGATAGAGATTAATCATCAAATTGGGAGTGTGATGATTTTATTATTTGTTTTATGAAAATTTTGACTTTATAATAAAAAGTATTTTATTAAAAAAAATATATCTTTTCCAATAAAAATGTCATTGTAAAGCACCCATCTTCGTCGAAACCTTCCTCTTAACTACGTTTCAATCGTATCTATAAATAGATGCAAAAGCAAGCAAGAACTTTAAATTTTTCAACTTTATTATTTGACATTTTTCTTGGACCACTCATTCCATTTCTACTCAAGGACACGTCCTTTTGAGTAGGGTCACAGACCCTAGACCAATTGCTAACAACATTGGTGTCATCATGTGTTTTCATCTTCTTAGGTAAACATCAAGGATTGTCTGATAGGATGTTCATCTCTTTATCTATGAAAACTGTAAATGTATATGTGACATGTAGCATAAATCAATCAGAAATAAAAGATAGAGAAATATATATATATATATATATATATATATATATAAATAAATAATTATATGGTATGATATTAAGGATGATAAATAAATATAATAACATTTTAATTATAAGTATTACTTGATAAGAATTAATGAGACATTTAGAGAATTGAAATGTTGATATATCATTTTTCCTTTATTTAAAATGAATATACTTCAGGGTTAATGAGAAAATAAGATAAAATGAAAGTCAATTAAGACACAAAAAGTAAAAAATAAAAAAATCTTTCCTCCAAAACTCATCAAATTCTAACCTCATCTATTATAGTTTTTTATATTTTTCTTTTTAAAAAATATTTATTGACAACAACTCAAGTGAGAAAATAGATAATTTTATTATTATTATATAAGAAAGCTTAATTAATTGTATATTAACATTTTTTTAATGTTCGATTGTTTTTAATCAACAACAGGTAATAAGTTAAAACTAAGAGCAAAATATTGTTAAGCTAAAATTATGGGTGGATCGAGAATGGATTAGTCCATTAAGTTCACGAATATTATGAATTAAGCTTATTTTTTTAAAATATTTATAAGCATTAGAAAAATTAAGTTTAATCGATTGAATGATAAAAGAATGAGTTTAATTTTAATTTTTTGAAGGTAGGATGTGCAAATCTTGATTCAACCGTGTAATATATAAGGACCATGAATTTTTTTCAAGTAAAATTTTATATTTGCGGTAAGAAAAAAATAAAATTTTACATTTAAATTTTATATATGAAATAGAAAAAGTAAAATTTTACATTAAAAAAACAAACAAGACCGCATACAAGAGAAATTGCTTGGTTCCCTCTCTGTCACAGCAAACTTCTTTGTTAGGGTTTTCAGAGTTGCAGCCTTCCTGTCGTTACACTCTCGGTTGACAGTGCCTGTGAGAATCAAGAGACGGTGCGTTTTGCAAAGCAAACGACACCGCAGAGAGTCGCAGGTTCGTCTGCCGACTCAATCAAACGAAATCAACATTGTCTTTCGGTAGGATGATTACGCCTCTTTCCCTTTAATTTATTCACTGGATTGAAGTTTACTTATCTTATGCTAATAGAAAAAAGAAGAGAGTTTTCTCTGCAATTTGAGTGCTTCTCTGATTTGACAAAAATATTTTAAGTACATAATCTGACGTATAATCTAAACGAGATTCGACGAGGTTGAGGTTCTCTATTTAAGGATAAAGAAATTTATCATTTGATAGATTTGTATCCATTTTAGGTTCTGTAATTCTTATTAGTTGTATCGTGCACAGTTCTTTTTTTTTTTTTAACTGAGATATTGAGTAAACTGTCATTTGGTGCTTTATTTTGTAGGATGATGTAATATTAGTCCTAAATTAAAAAAAAAAACCTGATTATATGAACATAAATTTAATTAGAACGATGGTAAATCCTTAAATTTAAGAACTTATTTAACATTTCAACAGCAATTGCGGCCTTCTTGCCTATTTATTCACAATTTCCTGTTATATCCAGGCTCATAACTTAAAAACGCCCGACCACAATATAAATTGAAAAGGCATGATAATTACATGAGGTTTAGCGTACTATTGTATCTGCACTGACAAGTACTCTCGTGATTTATGTTTTTTTTTTTTTGTTATTTTTAGATTAATTCTGTATGTTGTATTCTGGTCATGTTGAGTCTTATATGATTAATTTTAAATTTTACCATATTTCTCTGTGTGTTTTATGTTGTTTCTATATCCTATGTCCCACTTGTGCTTTGTTCTTTTGCAGGAGCTAGTGTTTTGTATGAGATGCTTAGTTCTTTGATTAGTTTTGCAAAATACTAATTTTTTTAAATTATGTTCATAAAAGCTTTGGAGTGTAGACACAAAATTATCATTTCATATATAACTCATTTTGCCAGACAATACTTTTGTGATATCATGTTCTGAGGCACAATCTCCACAAAGCCTTGGAGTGTAGACACAAGATTATCCTTGCGTATATATTTGATTGTTTACTGTTTCCTGTAGATTTTGGGAAAGAATTTTTGAAATGGAAGAAGACAAAGGAATTAAGCAGGAGTCAAGTAATTCAGCAACTGAGGTTTATGAGCTACCTGGAGAACCTGCTATTGTAATTAATGGGGTGCCTGACATAATCCCTGGTGACTGCTCTATTGCTTCCCGTGGTGCTCCGAGCAAAGTTGAAACACATGTCCTTTCAGGTTTGGGTGAATGGTTTGAAGGGAGGGAAGTGAGGAAGTGGTTTATGGGAAGATATTACTCCGGTAGAGTAACTGATTTCGACAAAGATTCTCGGTGGTACAGGGTTCACTATGAAGATGGGGATTCGGAAGATCTTGATTGGAACGAGTTGGAAGAGGTGCTTCTTCCTTTGGATGTTACAGTTCCACTTAAGTCATTGGCAGAGGAGGTGGTCAGGAGAGGCAATATATCTGATTCTAAATCTGTTAAGAATGTAGATCATTCACAAAATCCCCAAATCAAAAGAAAGATAACAAAAGGAAAGTAGACCATAGTTCCATAAGAAGAGGTTTTAGTTGAAAATTTAGTGATTTGTATTGTACATATCAATTACATGGCAAGCAACACCAACAATGGCACTGAGAATTGAACAGTTTTGGAAATGCTGAGCTGAAAGAGCAATTAGGAATTGGTGATGATGGAAATTAAAAACTTTTGTTGTAGTAGTAGGGATTGTTTGTTTTGTAGTTAGGAAATTGGTCTTTAGGGAAATTCGAAAGTTAGTGATATTAGTGATTGATTATATCATGTTATGTTTGGTGAAAATTACATTGCGCATTAATATCATGGGGTCATTTTTTATGATGCCTTGTTATGCGGACATGGCAACGGGGCGGGGTGCGGGTTTTGTCATCCTGACTTTTTTAATCATTCCTGTCTCCCTGTCCCTATTTTTGTTGGGGTTCGGGTTCTTTGTTCCGTTTTTTATCTATATTATTTTTAAAAAGATAATTACATTTATAATAAATTAATTTTACTATCTATTTTTTATATATAAATAAATATTTATAATTTTATAATTTATAATTATTATTAATTAAATATATATTTTAATTTATTATATTTATATTAAAATATATATATGTAAAAGAAATATTTAATCATTTTTTATTTATAATATTATTATTATTATTATAATATTGTATTCAAATATTTGAATATTTATAATATTATTATTATAATACTGTATTCAAACATTTAATTATATATATACGTTAATTTATTTTTAAGTTGTTATTTAAAAATATAAAATATATAGTTTATAAGGAAATATTTAATAAGTTAATTATTATTCAATTAGTTCAAAATAATAAAAGTTTAAATTATCAATTCCTTTAATCCTTTAAAATACAATTATTTTATTAAGATAATATTTGATATATGATAAATAAAAATAATAAGATAAAAAAATGACATAATAAAATCTAATAAATATAAATTATAAATAAAATAATATTAATTACTACTAAGATTTATGTAAAATATTTAGAAAAAGATAAAGAATAAAAAAAATTAACTTTGTGTTCATCAAATTGATTGAAAAGATTGAAAAAAAAGAACAAATTGATGTGAGAGATTAAGGAAATATGAAAAACTCGAAAGGTAAAAGAGAAAATAATGTAATAAATTAATTGATATAAAAGATTAAAAAAGACAAAAATTAAAAAATAGGTAAAAAAAATAAAAATTAGTGAAATATAAAAAATGATCTTATATGTAATAGAAAAATAAAAGAAAATATTTTTAAAATATTAATATTTTAAAATTTAAATTTAAATATAAAGTCATGCGCGGGACGAGATCGGGTCGGGGTGGGGATTACATTACTCATCCTTGCCCTTACTTTTTAAAGCTGGGAAAACTCGAACCTACCCCCGCCCCGGTCAACTCGAGTTTTCTCTGTCAAACTTGAAGCGGGGACGGGTTAGTCCCCAGGAGACGGGTTTAATTGTCATCCCTAATAGGTATAGGATGTGAACAAATGTTGATCTCTTGAACTATGTTAGATACCTCTGTCTCATGTAATAAGGTGGGTCTTATAAAAAAAAATTCCAAAAATATTTTTATATGTTAAAATTAAAGTTGACAAGATCCATTAGTCTATGATCATATTCATTAAATAATTTCCATCTAAATAACATGCCAAAAGTACAAAAATGTTAACATTAATTACACAACCCAATTAACCACTCAAATAACAAATTAACAATGTATACTAGTATTCTTTAAGGTAAATCTCAACCTATATAGTATATTATTATACACTATCAATTCGTAGTTGTAAAAAAAAAATGTGAGAGTTTGGCTTTCAGAATTAATACAATTTTCTTTTTTTGGGTACATCAACGTTTCTACAAAAAAATGTTAGAATAAAGCACAATGGACAATTACTAGTGATTATTGCGTGAAAATTATATTCTTACAAATATAAAAATTATTGAAAAAGAAAATAGACAATGGTTTTTTATTATATTACAATATAAGTAAGAAACTATTTTTTTTAGTTTATACCATAAATGAAAATCATTCTCAAAATATTTAAGAACAATTTAATAATATTATTATAACAAAGTTAGTGTAAAATCATTTTACATTCATATTCCATAAAATTTAATCACTTGATATATCAAAATTAATTAAACAAAAATATTTTTCAATTTTTTTTAAGTTAATAACTCCCTTCTTTTTCATCATCCTCCTATATTTTCATCTCAAAAATTATAATTTATTTCTGATCACTCTATTCATTTTACTATGTCTAAAAATAGAAGACAAGTGATTGATGCTTCAACAGGAATACAAACAACTCCGAGAGTTTTATCGCAAACCAAGTCCTACAACTTCATTTTATAGATTTGTACGTGTTTTCTTATATAAAAAGAAAGACTAAGTTCATAAGTTTTTTTTTTTTTTTTTTTAGTTTTTGTGATTTGTCTTTAGGGTTTTTAGTGAAATCACTAAAATCATGAAAAGTCTTGTATAAAGAATATTTGGATTTGATATCGTATTGTAGATAAAGAACATTTGAAAAAATTTATTTAAAAAACATATTAATTGAAATATTGGTGAATTACTAAAAATAAACGCAGCCATAAGAAAGGCGAAGCGATATAATCTATATTTGTTTGTTCATCTTTTCTTTTCCTTTCTATCAAATAAAGAAAAGATATTTAATAAAGATTTTAAAGCCTCTGTAAAGCAAAACTTTTGTCTAGTAAAGTTTGTCCTCCACCGTACTGAAAAGAATTTAAAACGCAAGTGAATCTTCCTTCTTATACTTTTCTGTAAATTATCATCCACAACATTAATATAATTATGAATCAAATCTCTAAAGTATTGATGATTTTCAATAAAACGATCTCTTCTTCAAATCGTAAAATTGTAAAGTTCTTTTTAGTAATTAACTTTATAAAAAAATCACTTTTTTATTATTTTTTAATAATAATTTTTATTATATGATTGAAATTAAGTCTTTATTTTAAAGATTCAAATCCAATTACCAATTTGACTATAAATAATTTTAATAAATAATCATTCACCTCTTTAAGCAACACGTTTATGTAATTAATAATTGAGCCTGATGTCAAGACTGACTCATTGCAAAAACTGTGATTTAATATATTTTGAATAGAAAATAAAATAATAATATGTGACGTGTTATTTGGTAATTGGCACAACATAACATGTCCCTTTCAGTTATTTGGTTAAAGAGGGCAAAAAAGAATAATATGATGAGATCACGTGCCCGTACAGACCTAAACCACGCGCATAACTACGAACGTGGACAGACACACAAGACTAAATACTATTAAAAGTTAATATCAGTGTTAAATTTATAATAATTATTTTAAATTTTCAGTTAATATTATTTTTAATTGATTGTATAAGATTCGTGAAACTTTCACTAACGCGCTCCATTCCAAACCGCTTAGAACAAACAAGACAGGGTCCAACTAACCACCCTTATCGCGTTATCCTCGGTCGTACGTACTTTCCACTACTTTCCTTAAAAACCGCTTCAAAAATTTAGTTCCGTATAATAATAATGAACAAAAAAATACCTTTTAGCATTTTACTTTATTTTTAAATATATGCGGATTTAGAAAATGTGACATTATTACATGCTTAAAAAAATTAATAATATATATAGGTAATCATGATCAGATTTTTCAAAAAAGTTTGCTGAAAGCATTAAAAATTTTCACCATGTTGCAGAGAAGGATAGCTAGTTGTGAATTGATAAAAGAAGAGTAGAAAGGAATAATTGATGGTTGATAAGTGAAGTAAGAAAATGCCAAAATAGTGCTGAATCTGCTGCTGTGTCACGCAACTAAGAACCACTCACTCCACATGGTGACTCATATTCTGGGGAAGGTCGTTTCTGCTTTGGCCTTCACATATATATGCTGTCTTAGCAACTAACTATTCGGATTATACCCTACCCATCACCATGGACTCTTTCTTCCTCAAACCCATGCTAGCTTCTCAGAACCACACATTAATGCAGAGCACTGTGGTGGTGGAGTTCCTGAAGGGCATGGTGAAGCCTGTGGCTGCCACTGCGGTGGTGTTTCTGGCCGTGGTCTTGTCCTTCTACCAGAAGCTTGGCCTCGAGATGGAGATGGTTGTTGCCATTGTCAGGGCATTTATTCAACTCTCTATCATTGGCTTTGTGTTGCAGTTCATCTTCAACCAGGAAAACGCCGGATGGATCCTTCTAGCTTACCTCTTCATGGTTAGTCACTCTTCATTCTTTCTTAATTAACCATCATAATAATCCACTATCTAATTCCTTTTGGATTGGTTTCACATAACAAATTTCAATGTTTTTTATGTGCTTAATCATTCCCTTATGCAATTAAGGTCTTAATTTCTATACATCATACATGATATGATACATACATATAAAAATTATTACTTTCATCTTTATGCCAAATAAACGTATATACATTTTGTATCAACCAGTTTTAGTACGAATATTACACGTTTAATGGGAAATCTATGGCTTTTAAAAAATAAGTAGTCTTTTTTGAGTATATGCAGTTACCCAGAGAAGAAAAATGTATATTTTTGCTGCAGGTATCAGTAGCTGGTTACACTGCAGGTCAACGTGCAAAACATGTCCCTAGAGGAAAGTATGTGGCTGGGGTTTCCATTCTCACAGGAACTGCGGTGACCATGTCTGTGCTTGTATTGCTGAACGTGTTCCCTTTCACTCCCAGATATATAATACCAGTGGCTGGAATGATGGTTGGAAACTCGATGACAGTAACCGGTGTTACCATGAAAAGACTCCGAGACGACATCAAAACACAAACGAACTTGGTCTGTCTTCTACTCCTCTTTATTCATTCATGTCCTCATCATATAATAAACAATAAATTATTCTGCTTCAGCCTTGCAAGTTATCGCTGCTGCACTAAGATGAGATCTGCATAAAGTTGAACAGATCCACACACGCCACAAACAAAAAGTTAAAGTCAATTAAAATATCGAGCTCTTTTAACACCAACCACAGATTTAATTTATCAATATTTTATTACTAAAGTTGTTGTTTTTGTAGTCCTATATAAAATAAAATAAAAAAGTTGAAATGAAATTCTTTGCTTGAAGATTGTACACTCAAAGAGTTTATTTGACTTGCGGTATTTATTTCATTAGCTAGTTTCTATTAAATCAAATAAACTTACAGGATTTGTTTCTGTTGTTTTTTAATGATTTCAAACCTGAACAAAATCATGATTAACTATTACATTTTTGCAATCGTTTATTAAATATATTAATGTTGATTAATCGATGCAGAAAGACAATAACTGTTACAGAATGTCTCTGATGCAGTGGTGCTAGTGACAATTCAATGAATGGAATGAGTGTTTACTATGATAATTTGTTTTACAGGTTGAGACTGCATTGGCTCTTGGTGCAACACCGCGAGAAGCAACGCATGAGCAAGTGAAAAAGGCAGTGATATTGGCTCTTTCACCAGTGGTGGACAACACCAAAACAGTGGGTCTAATATCCCTTCCTGGGGCAATGACTGGTCTCATTATGGGAGGGGCCTCGCCATTGGAAGCCATTCAACTGCAGATAGTGGTGATGAATATGATGATAGGTGCAGCAACTCTTAGCAGCATAGTCGCCACATACCTCTGTTGGCCAGCATTCTTCACCAAGGCCTACCAGTTGGAGACCAAAGTCTTCTCTTATTGATTCCTGACTTCAACTCGTGATTTCAAATTGATCCAATTCGATTATTATATATGATTTTGAACTGTTAAAGGTTAATTAATTAGACTTGTTCAAATCGTTTTAATTTTTATATTGAGAAATTTATTCATGTGTAATCTTCAAAATGACCTTAAACTACTCAGATCAGGGTAAATCGCTTACCCTTGAGAGTATAAATTTATGAGTAATTAATATCAGTCAGAAAAATTGTTTTAATATAAACATATTAATCGTAAATATTGAATCTGTTTTTTTGGTAAAATTTTGATTTGATAATTGGTTTCAGAGTTAAGATTAATACTTCTATTATTAGAAGAATAATTGTTGAGGAAGATATTGTTATAACATATATATGATTTTGCCCATGGAAGTTGTTTTCCTCTAATGTTGAGCTATTGTTTTATTTTAAAATTTGATTTGTAAAATTTAATGTAATATTTAATATAACATGTTTATTTTTTAAATAATTATTTCGTGAAACTTTTGCTTTGTTTAAGCTTCTCTTAGAGATTTTAAAATATGTTTTAATCTAGTACTTGATAAATTGACATTATCGTTGCATATGTTTTACTTTAACAAAGTTACATTTGGAACGCTTTATCTCAGAAAATTATAAAAATGAAGACATTTGTTTATTTGATAGTATTATTATAAGTTTTTTATGTAGACTATTTTTTTTAAGGTTTTATTTTATGAAAATATTATTAACATTGCGCTTTTGTTTTACCGTTAATTAATATTTGACAAATTGATGAAATATCTACTTTCTTTCACTGTTAACAAAATTAGTAATTGTGATAAAATCAATAATATGAGTCATTCATATAATTGAGTGTAGAATAAGTATGCAAAACAAATAAAATTTTTATTTTTGAAATGGATAGAAGACTTGGCCAACAAAAAGCATGTTAATTATATTTTTGTAACATGTATTTAAACAATTTTTTAACACTTCTCTTGCTAGATTGTATTTTTTGACTTATCATGAATGAAATGTCATAACCACATTTGTTTTAAAGAAAGTAAAACAAATCAATTTAAAAAAAATGACAAATTTGAGTTGGAATGAATAACTATTAGCTAATTTAGCCCTAGAAGAGTCAAGATAAAAAAATTGAAACACTATTAACTATGATTTCCTTTTGTTATAAACTTTAGCTTATCAGAACGATGACGTTTTCAGCAATAATGACGTGGCGGAATATTCTATTGTCTTGGAACCTACGCAATAATACGCAACGGATGTTGTTATTTGGAACGCACCAGACCAGACCGTAACCAATAAAGCAGTTGCGATCCGGTCACAACCTTGAACGCTGTCGTTTAAGCTTTCAATCTGAATTCTGAATTCTGAATTCTTCTCCCACCTTCCTTCCTTCAACCACTCTTCAATCTTCATGTCCATGTCGCTTCAACATTCGCTTCTCCTTCTTTTCTCTTCCACATTATTCTTCACCTATTTCCCAGGTTACTTTTTTCAATTTTCTCTTCGAAAAACCTCCATTTATTTCTTCGTTTATAGTTTTCATGAAACCCAATAACGTTTACATGAAACTAACTAACTGTTGGTAGCACAGGGTTGGTTGTACCTGCGGAGGTGACGCTGAGCTCGATTGAGATCTTCACAACCCACGAGTGGCTAAAAGTCACTCCAGCTGTCTATTTTCGGTGCAAAGGGGACAAAAAATCTGAATTGCCTGATGTCAAAAAAACCAACGTTTCCTATACTTTTAAGGGTGAAGAGTCTTGGCAGGTTCCTCCTTGTCCCCTTTTGTTTTTTAAGCTTTTCCTTAACTATTTTTTTATTTGAGTTTTATTTTAGAAGTTGTGAGAAAGTGATCACATGAAAGAGGAGTGATTAAATGATTTTAATTCTCATTATTAGGCTTGTAGAGTATTTATATGGAAAGGGACTATTGCAATAAGCAATTCCCTGAGCTCGTATGCATCCTAGGTATAGTAGCTTGTAATCTAATGCGAAAATTACATAAAAATATCTGATTGGGAGTTTTCTTTTTATGTTGAGCTGTCTGAATAGTTATTTGGTTATGAAATGCTTGAGAGAGCCTTAGTGGATAAATTTTGCTTGTTAAGAAATGGGTAATAGAGCCCAGTGTTTTATCACGATCCATATGACAACCAGTCTAGAGATGTTTAGTTTGTTTGTTCATGACAGACTGGGTTGGCACACTTTGGTTGTTGCAAAGTACAGAACCAGGGTGCAAGCAGCTTGGTAGTGACTAAATCTGGATGAGAAATAAATTGGTTCAGCTGCTGAATGATAAATAAATGGTCAGACCATATAGGGATGAGATAAAGCATCTCCCTGAGACGCCTATTGGATGGAACATCCTAATAAGGCTTTCCTCAATCTTGATGGATCTTAATGGAAGGGTCAAGTGGTGTTTGAACTGGTTTGGATCCTAAGTGACTACATTCAGCAACAGGGTCCAGACATTACTTCCTGTCCCAAAATAAAATTGTTTGAAATGAGCAACATTCTGTCCAAGGAAATACCTAAGGACCCCAAATTCTTAGGGGACGCACTTGATGTGTTGGAATTCTATTGAAGAATTTCCAGCACAGATGATATCATCCACATCATCTAGAAGTCATGTGAAATGAGTACTAGAGGTTTTGACAAAGAGGTAGTGGTCAGAGAGTATATCCTTGTTGCAAGATCATTGAGGTCAACTTTTCATACTATTTATGGATGACCTTTTTCAGCCCATAGAGGGATTTCGACAATTTGCAGATCTATTGGGCTTGGTAGAGTTGACACTTTGAAGGACGAGCTTCTTGAGTTTTTTCTTGTTACTCACTATGCAAGAAGACATTGATTACATCCAATAAATGTAAACGCCAGCTGTGGATGGGCGCATGTAAACATTTGTAAACTTTGCAACCACAGAGAATGTATTAAAGTAATCCAGCCCTTATGGCAACCTTTGGCCACAAGTCAACCTGTGAATTGCTCAATAGATCCATCACCTCAATGCTTTATTTTATATCTTGATTTTCTATCAATGGTTTCACCCTCCATCAAATGATTCCTGCAGTCTTACTTGCTTGCCTCGGGATAGGATTAGAGACTTCGGCTTCAACATGTGTGGTAATTGAAAGAAAAGATCAACAAATTGAAGGGGAAAGTTTTGCATCAGAAACATGACAAGACAGAAGGTAGTATAAGGAAGAAGAATTTGTCGAATCAGGGAGAAGTTGTATATGTACTCAGCAAGGTGAGGTGGCTGATGCTACCCTGTGTGGATCTTCTTGGTGGAGGTTCAGCCGATGCAAAGCTAGCTAACCGAGAAGATTCTATTATACTAGTCCACTATTATCAGTATAAGTAGGAAGGGAACTCACGTGGTTTTACAGACTGATATTCCCCAGTATGAAAGGATGAGCTATCATTGTCAACCTTTTAGGGAAAGATAGTCCCATGGAAAATCACATTGCAGGTTTATGAACACTTCTCTGCTATTGAAATCTACACATATCTCTTTGTTCCCATTTTGTAACCTGGAAAAATGCATTTTCTAGCACAGGGTTCAAGTTTGGTTTGATGTGACATAACATAGTGATTTAGAATGTGAAAAAAGTTCTCTACCTGCATTAAGTACACATAGGTGCTTCCCCTCAATTCTCCAGTTTCGCTAGGGAGATTCAGCATAATATTTTTGATGAATTATTCCATCAGATGCATGAAACTGAGGAATCAGAAATTCAGGTCCATTATTACAAATCAGTTTCACTCATGCATCATGTTGAATTTCTTCCCAAAACAACATAATTCCAAATATACTAACCCACCTGCTGTACTTCAGCTTTGGGTTTCAACTATTTAATGCATACAGATCTACTGAAATCATCCAATACAGTTAAAAAATATTTGCGTCCATGAATAGAAGCAATGGACAAGGGTGGTCCCCATGTGTCAAAATGTAGCAATTCAGATCTCTTAGAAGCATTTTTATGATAAGAGTTCAGGATAATCTCTTTTGCTTAGCATAATGGCATACATCTCATACTGAATTCTTATTAACTGAAATCAAAGTTTGAAGAAATACTACTTACTAAGGACATTCTCCCTCATAACAAGTGTCCCAGCAGAAGTGTCAAAATGCAGTCTTAGCTCAGTTATGGAATTGGAAACATTTCTGGGTACAGCTTGAACGTGAGCTTCGTTGACATCAATCACCAAATCCCTTCAACTTGATCTGCAAAGCCAATTGTCCCATGGGATTTTGGATGCTCCAGAATTCATTTAAACTCATGAAGTTGAGGAGTACAACTCAAGAAATGACAATGTTTGGACACTGAAATAGATTGAAAGAAAATTCTTGTTACTAGAGAAAATGACTGAGATATAAGGTGGATGAATAATTCAAAGTTCCTGCAGACTGTGCAGTCACGGTTTCCACTTGGTAGTGAAACATTGATTGGCTTAATACTATTGAAAGTGCTAATCGAATCAAGGGATGAATATATTGGGTTGTTGGCTCCAAAGTCTAATATCCAAAACCAGTACTGACACAAGCCGAAAAAGTTAGGACAGAGACATTATTACCTGGATTGAGGTCCTGTCATGGCTTACGGCCAAGATGAGAAGACGGGCTGACCTGATTTGAACTGTGTTTTGTTTGTAGAAGATGGCTGGGTAACATTTGTGTGTTTCTGTCATCCTGTTCATGTGTAAACATGGGAGGAAAATTGTTGTGTTGTTCATTAATTACAGCTTTATCCTCTCGCTCAAAAGTTTTCTGCAGTTGTAGTGTAACATTTGTCCAGTTTTCCCCCAGAATATGCAATTTTTTTTTTTAATCTCTTCCACTATAATGCTATTTGCTCTTCTCCTCTTTCTCGACCTTGTGGCTTTGAAGTATCCAATGCTTTTACTAGAACCTTTGACTCGTGAAGATTAGCAATCTTTCTTCACCTTTCTTGCTGCAACATGATGAAAAAAGGTGGATGGAAGTGCCATCAATGACTCTTGTGGTTTTATTTTACCACCAAGAATTGGTTGCTCGATCCTGTCGCGAATTAGATGACTGGATCTTGAAGTAGAAACATGTGTGCCTTTTTCGTGGATGCACTAAAGTTAAAATCCAACCACTGACATTGAGCCTTGCTTCAATCCATTTACCTGTTGCCCAAGTTCACATATGTAAATGAGATTGCCTTGAGAGAATCCTTCTCTAAAGCCCTCCTATACATCAATTGCATTCTCTAGAACAAAATATGCTTTGTGTTCTAGGTGGTGAAACAGAATTCATGATCCAAAGATGGATCAGATTATTACATCTCTCCCATTATTGATAGCATAGATCTGTCTCCAATGGAACCTCAATACTCCCATCAACAAATCTGAATCTATTCTTCCGATTCGGTACTCTTCGCATTGATCTGGCCACAGTAGCAGGTTCGGCACTCGGATGACATAGTAATGAGATGATGGATTCTGCAAGGGATTGATAATTCCATTGCTATTTATGCTATTTCTAATGTTTGACAAACATCGGTGTGAGTTGTTATCCAGGTCAGATTGTTGAACTGAGCTCTATACCATCATATGAAAGTGATCAGAGAAAAGAAGTGACCAAGACCAAATGAGTTGTAATTCTCATATTCAGCAATATGCCATTTGTACAATATTTTTATGGCAAAGAAATTGCATAATGCAATTCCGTGAGCTAAGTTGCATCTAATAATAACTCCATAAAATTACAAAAAATAATAACTGATGGGTAGTTATTCAGTTATGTTGAGCTGTTTGGGGAACTTTTTTGGTTATGATTAGGCCGGTCTTAGCTCATATAACACTAAGGTTTATAAAGTAGTTGTTTGAAATCCTTGCCTCTTCGTCCAAAGAACTATTATTTTTTATATAGGCAGCTATCTCATCGTGTTTAACCAAGAAACAACTATTAGAGTGGTTTGCCTAATCATTAAATTCAAGTGACTTTGCATTTATAATTACAAGTGTTACTTTATGAGATTTTGCGTAATCATTATTTAATGAATTTGCACTAGCAACTACTGAGATTTTGCTTTGTGGTTCCAGCCTTTGACTATTTTCGATGGTAAAAAGTGTAAACGATGTGGATTCTATGAGGAAGACAAAATTCTTTATGATGATGTGTTTGACGAGTGGGAATTGTGTCCTTCTGATTTTACCGCCCCTGCTGGAAGATACATCCACTTCAAGGAAAAAGAATTCAATGCTACTTTTCTGTGCCCAGGTTGCTTACCTATTTCCGGTGGTGAGTTTCTTGCTACCTTTTTTCTTGGAAAACTCTTCTCAGAACTATTATGCTATTAGACTTCACAGACAACTGTAATAGTAGTGTATATGATGCCAATGCTACAATTAAAAAGTCATCAAAAGTAAAAAAAATCAACTTCTGTGAATGTTTCATTCAATCTCTATTATGGCGCTTACAATTCAATGTTGAAATTTACAAAATAGAGCTAGTAACCTCAGTTATGTTGCCATTGATGACCTGTGTAGAAGATTATTTGGTTAAGAATCTAAACGAAATAATGAATTATCCTGACTTTTTTACTCGTAACAAACTGGAGGAAGGATTAAACAGTGTTAATTGAAAAAAAAGTAGGGCGCATTTATCTTAAACTTCAATTTTATATGCTAAGTATCTTCAATATTATATAACCTTTGGTCTGATTCCACCTAATGGGATATGTCTTGATTATTGTTGATATATCTCATGTCTGAGATTTTTCTTCACTGTTCATTCGTTTTTTTATTGTGAGTCTGTGAATTACTGGGATTCCCAAATTAAGTTTTTTCCAATTCTTCGCATTTTTTTAATTAACCTTGTTGTTTTCCAAGTTCTCTTTCTCGTGTATGCTTGGATCTATACTAATTACTTGCTAATATATGCAAATTCATCTTTGTGAAATATGTGTTCATTTGTAGTTTCTGTCTCTGCACCGCCTGCCGAGAATCACGAGCACAGTAAAAAAGGAATGCCTATAGCAGTTATCATTTTGTTAACTATTTTGGTCTTAGCCATTTTGGCTCTGGCAATGATGGGTGTATTCAAGTATTGGCAAAAGAGGAAGAGGGAGCAGGATCAGGCTCGGTTTATGAAGCTATTTGAAGAAGGTGATGACATTGAGGATGAGCTCGGCCTTGGAACTATAATATGACAGCAAAAAAGTCCCTCCTGTACAGTAGGTTACCTCACAATTTTGTTTAAGAAAATGGTTGAGAAAATATTTTCTTGTTCATATTACCTGTACATACTACTACTCATTTACATATGGCTGAATTGAACTCATCTGACAGAAATACTATAACAATATGTAAAAAACTAAGCTCTCATTGATTCATCCTTTTCCAAATGAGATTAAAAGAATAGATTATGCAACTTAGACGTGTGTAGCCTCTACCTGAGAACCAAGGCCTAGATGCTGGTCAGGCATTGTACGTGTGTTTAAAAATGAATAGCAACTCTAAAACCAATCCTAGAGGTAAATCAGAGAGGGTATTTAAAATTGAGTATGGTCTTTCAATTAGGAAGTAGATTACTTGTTCTTATTTTTTTAGCTTTCTTGTTGATTTTAGTGGAATAAAACTGTTCCAGGAGTGAAGCAGATGAAAAGTTTGTAAAATCGGGAGAGAAAAGGGTTGATCCTTGAAAATTGATTTTGGAAGCGAGATGATTGTTACTATTATCACCATTTTATCCCATTCTCAAAATACTACTCATCATACCATAAACCTTCCCTCTTACTAACAGGGTAAAATACACAAACAGTTTGTGACGACAGAAAAGCATAATACCTATGCCACCAATAGGCCTCAAAAGAAATTTATTTATAAACAGGCCCTGCATATTGGTAACATTACTCTTGTTTTACCAAAATAAAAGACAACTAAAAATTGGATGAATCCATCACAGTGCCAACACAAAGATCATCATTATCATGCTTTGACGTTTCAACCACTAAAATTGAAGACAAATTATTAGATAATTGAAGTTTTTCACTTGCGTTAAAAAGTACCTTGGTGAATTTGATGGATGGAAGTCAATTGTCTTAATGATCTTGCAAAGGATATTTAATCATTATTTACTCTGTTTTCTCTGCAATACATTGAGAACAAACTGCCCTCGCAGACGATGAATTTTTAATGGGAAATAATTATTTAAAACATAAGAAATTATGAAATATATTATTATATCATGCTTTACTTTTTTATCATGTAAAGTGTTTTTATTGTACCGAACACTACTGACCTTTCTCTCGGATCTTCTCAGGCGTGAACTATTCAGCGCAAACCACCGTTCGCCTACTCCATTCCAACGTTCAAGTCAGCAAAAAAAAAAGTGATGCACATTGAAATAATTTGATTAGAGAAATTAATCATTTTATTTTCTAACTTTACTTGCAAAATTAAGTTGAGAAGGATATTTAGAATTTAAGATTCATGATAAAGTCGAGTACTGAAAGATTAAAATAATTTATTGAAATTTATTTAATTGAACTTTTGAGACGACAAATTAAAACAAAGTGTACATCTAATTCTTAACACATTAGGAGAAAATGTCATAAAAATGTTAAGGAAAGAAAAAAAAAATTGACGTCAATTCACACATATAAGAGTGACATTCAAAGTAGGTGCTAAAATAACCTATCATAGGAGTTTGTTTTTTAGCGGCTTATGCTAAGGGAGTTTGTATCCTCTTAAAAAAAATCTTCTATTATTGAAAACAAAATTATTAATAGGAATAAAAAAATGATTTTATATCTTAAACATTCTTCGTGTACTTAAAAAAACAACATATCAAAGTTGATGTTTACAAATCCTGCTTAGACCATGATAAATATAAAGTGATGCCCCCATCAACGATAAAATAGAGTCATAAATCGTTTTAGTCAATAAAGTTATAGATGTGAGTCTATTTTACCATTTTTATTTAATTTTTTTTTATATTTTTTTAAAATATATATTTAATTACATGAATATTTTTTAAATATTTATTTATTAATTACTATATTTTATCATGTAAATAAAAAATATATATTATATTTATATGTTAAATTATGTTATTATATTCAATAATTTAATGATAATTTTCAAGTATTTATAATTAAATTATAATATTATTATATATTTATATATTCAAATAACATAATATAAAAATTATAATTTATTTTATTTTTATTTTAATAAATTAGTTTTAATATAAAAAACATAAATAACTCAAGTGTCACTGAATTTATTTCATAAATGACAACACTTAGATCTTTCAGCAGCTTAGATAATACCTCGTTCAGTAGTAGATATATTCTCATTTATTTAAGATCAAAGAAATTATAAAGGTAGTTAGTTTTTTCTACAAATAATGTTGGCTCAATTTTTATCATCATTGTATGATTAGCTATATAAAATGTGACAAAAGAATTATATAAAATATTGATTAAAAGTAACAGGATTAATATACTTATAAGTTAAATTGTTTATTTATTATTAAATAGGTGAGAATAAAATATATAAATGAAAATTTTCATATCTAGATATTAAAGCATAAGTTATCAAAAAACTTAAAAATTCATTTGACATTGAGATGCTATGCAATAAAATAACTATCATATTCAATTGTAATATAATTTTTTTTAATAAGTGTATGTCTTGTTATCTTATAATTTATCCTATATTTATCACCATCCCTTTTCAACAATGTATTTGTCATTACTTTATCATTAATCATAGTAAAAAAAATAATTTATATAAAATTTTTATAAAAATATTCTCTTAAATATAAGAATTTTTATTAGTGAATGCTATTAATATATAATTTTTTAAATTTTTTATCACAGAAATTAGAGATAATAATTGAATTGAATACTCTACCATTTGATTCAATCTAATAGACTGGATTATAATTTTTATAATTAAATTAAATTCAACCAAATTAAACTAATTCAAATTAACCTTTCTTATGATTTTGTCGTTAAATAAAATAATAAATAATAAAAAAATAGAATGATGTAAAAATATAAATATTTTTTAATTAATATATTTATCAATTTATTTTAATATTTATGAAAAAATAAATAAAATTAAAATTATAAATATATATAAATAAATATAAAAAATAGGAACTGGTTTCTTTACACTAAGAAACTTCTAGTACAGGTCATAATCTTGTCATATCACCACTAATCACCTCTACTTTACTATTACTATCATATTATCATTCTTATTATTCAAAATATAATTTTTACCTATACATTAAACAGAATTAATATTTAATTTATTCTTATCATATCATATTGTTATTCTAAGCTTATCATAATTTGCCACTAAGAATTAGAATTGCCATTTCTTAAAATATTACAATTCAAATGGGATCCAAATTTTGTTTAAGAATTTAGCCTCCACACACTGTATTATATTTTATTCTAAAAATACTATATAATATAATTGCTACTTAAAATATTACTCTAGAAGATTCAAAAATATTTATTTTAAATGATAACATACCTGCAACGACTTCCATAATAAACATTTCAATATCCATTTCCATAGAACATTGAAATGAATAAGCTTATTAAAGTGAAACAAGCAACCCTATCGTACTCCTTTTCTCCTCCAAACAACGATGTCCAAATAAATTGTTAAACAGCAATTTTTCTCAAGGGTATGCCGTTAAACTACTAGAGTAGAGCAATATATATACTATTAGAGTATATAAGCATACTTGAATGGAACTTGACTAATAGTTTTCATAACACTGTTATTATTATTATCTAATTAAAATAGTGATCAAAGTTATGAAAACAAATATAAAAACAGTAAAAGATCTATTACCCGGATTGAAAGGCTTCAAAACATGCAACATTAAATTACTTGGTTTAAAATATCTCAATACATGAAACAAATTCATTCACACGCACATTCTAGCTAAGCCACACGTTAGTTGACCAGCAAGAATCTGAAAAATAGCAAGCATGCATAAAAACGTTTTCATAAACAAAAGTCACAAAATTAAACTGGAGTGCATTTTGCATTTTATAATCCAGATATAAACGGGGCCACATCCTGACATCTCATCAAAAAGTAATTTCTAAGGTGACTGTGAGCGGCGATGGTTGCCATCATCTTCATCAATGGGGCTCCTGTCATCCTCCCTAGGGCTCCGGCTACGCCCATTAGTTTTAGGGATATCATAGCCATACTCATTGCCGTCCCTTGCAGGACTGGCAGGGCTTCTACTCTTGCCTCTAGGACCATCACTGAACTCAGACCCATCTCGCTGAGTGACCAACCTATCACCATTACCAGGAAATGTGTCACCTCTCTTCTGTGGGCTGCTACGGTCAGGTGATCCACTATGCCTCCTTATCTTGGAGGGCCTAGGACTCCGTGACCTATCTTCGGAAATAGGGCTTCTCTCTCTTCTGACTGGAGACCTCGATCGACTGGGAAAAAAATGGTGACCAAAACTCAGCTTACAAGCATATTACTAAAGCAGTACTGACTAGTGAAACAACAGACAATTAAATTGAAATTGCAGTATGATTGCATCAGAACATATACATTAGGATTAGAGATTATTAGAATCCAACCTGTAGCTGCGGTCACCGCTGTAGCTTCGATCCCTGCTTCTTCCACGACGAGGAGACCTTGACCTCGACCTGACTGGTGACCTTGAAAGACTCCGTCCACACCTGCTGCTACAGAACAATCCAAATTGAAATAAAATATTTAAAGATCATTCATTAGAAAGTAATAACCAAGAACATATCAACACAATGTAGCAGAGATTTTGGAAACAACAGGGCCTACCTCAACTTTTTGGGACTGTTCTTGCAGTTCTTCTCTATATGACCTCTTTCCCCACAGCGGTAGCATTTGTTCTTCCAATCCCCAGCTTTGCAATCTCGGGCCCAATGACCATCAATTCCACAGTTAAAGCATCGTCCAGATCCAGGAGGTGGACCCCGACCCACGTATTCCCGGGAACCACGAGGACCCTAATTAAAAAGAGATCAGATAAAAAACAACAAGAAATCAAAAACTAACAAAATTTGTTAACAATAGCAATTAAGTGCAAGGGTTCAAATGAAATTGAAGATGTATGTATGAAGTTCTAAAGAAAACTTTTAATACAAAAATAAGAGACAATCATCATTCAATTGCCTTTGTTGATAAGTATGAGGAGAATAATGTGAGCAAATAGAGGCACAGGGGCATACAAAAGCCCAATTATTAGATTATAGATTATATGGAAAAAAATCCCTGAATGCAACTATAAAATCCAACAACCATGCATTAAACAACGGAGCAAGCACTTACAGATGAAGACTCAACTGTACATAGTTTGTATGCATAAAATAAACACTATACACATCCCTTCGATAGTTAATTACAAATTTACAACAAATGAGAAGACCAAATCTTAAGAAAAATGCTATGTAGATAAACTATAAAATTAAGTATTTCCTACCCCCTTGGCAAATTCAACAATAATGCGACTTCCTTCAAAGTCACGGCCATCCAAGTTATATCTAGCATCATCAGCATCTCGAGGATCGCTAAATTCCTGTTCAAAATATGTCAGGAACAAGCCAATAAAGTAACACAATCTTACCATCATTTACAACTGAATTCCTCCGAGCAGATACTAATGGCCACCTTGGAGCAAAGGCATGAGGAGAAATTGAAATCAAAAGAAATAGACAAAGACAAAATGAGGTCACAACTTACAACAAAGGCGAAATCATTCTTCATATCCACCCCTCGAACTCTGCGGAAATGGTTTCCAGAAACAGTAAGGCCATCATTACTTAACTACTGGACTGTATACAACGCCCCTCAAAGACGGATTAAACACCAGTTTGTGATTGTTGCCATTTCCATAAAAAACACGCAATAATATTACAGAAAGAATCGCCAAAGTCAACACTCGACAGGAATTTCCATCAATTCCACCAAGGCCAACCTCCCAACACAGACCTCCAGGTTTAGAGAAAACCACAGAAACCTTCAACAAGATTATTCATGTTAAAACATGACACCTAGGGGATTTGGTTCCCACGCATAACATGACAAAAAACCAATACAAATCCAAGCTAAAATGAAAGCTCGGATAAACCTGTATATCACCATCCTATGTTTCATCATAAAACATGGCCGACAGCAGAAAGTCGACGGAAAACAACGGAATACATCCTGCAACTCTAAGCAAGAAATGCAGTACTAAAAAATAAAGCCAATCATCCAAATCGACAATCAAGCAACCATGGAATAGTAAGAAAGAAAAACATGTAAAAGATTAAAAGGGTAAATAGGTCCTTTACAAATAAGTAAACAAGGTTTTTAAAAGAAGATCGCAGGTTGTTATTGCGGCCTGCAATTGCAGTTATTTGCCTGAAATTTTCTGTAACACAATCGTGATAAATCCACAACCTCAATTTCACACCTTGCATGATTCTTTTTGGAAAAGACTGAGATTGCTAGAGATTATTTTAGAAAGATATATATATATATATATATATATATATATATATATATATATATATATATATATATATATATATATATATATATATATATAAAGAAGGAGAAATTACCTTCCATATCTGCTGAAGACTCGCTCAAGATCACGGGACCGGGTGTCCGAAGACAGGCGTCCTACGTAGAGACGGGTATTGCCATATTTATCATCATAGCGAGGCATCGTATGTTCCTTCTAGCTCTGCACAATAAACAACATGAAATATTAGAGATTAATTATGAAAGGCCAGACAGAACCCTTTCTCTCAGTAGAAACAATAACTGGAATTGAAATAAAGGAGAAAAAGAAATTGAATTTCAAACATGCAGACAAATTCAAAACCTACATCGCATCTGAAAACAAACAAATCGATTAATTAAATTGATAATTGATGAGGCAGAAAGAAAATCCAATAGAAATGAGAACCAAAAGTGGAAAAAGCGAATTGAATAAACAGAAGAACACAAGGGAAGAGATATTTACCTCTGAGCAGATTGGTATTTCTGCCTAAACCTAACTCTTTCAAAGTGGATATTGATTTATATCAGACCTCTGTCAGGGATCCTATATATTTTTTTGGTTAATTCGGCCACAAATTGGGTTTTCAAGAATTATAAAATACAATTTTTTTATGAAAAAAAAATAAAATAAAAAACTGTTGAAATACATCCCCTAATGATATTTCAACTAGTTCGATTTTTGTTTAGGTTCAATACTTTTGCCCCTAAATTTACATATTTCGTATTCTAGAGAGAAAAGTTTTATAATATTAATTTTTAAATTGCTACTTATACTAATAAAAACATGTGGATTAATTTTGAATATTTAAAAAAACTAATATATATATATATATATATATATATATATATATATATTAATGCAAAATAATCTCATGTAGAATAAGTATTGTTTTAAGAACATTTGATATGAAAAGTCATGGTTTACACATGTAATACTAATAAAATGTGTATACCATAGGAGTTAGTTCTTCATACATGTGGTAGAAAGGGTTCAATGAATCGAAGAATAAATCTCCTCTTCCAATACAAAATTATGACCACCATGCAACATATTATTTAAATTCTTTCCGTAATAAATTCATCTTCTTAGAATATAAATTTAATTTTAATTAAATATTATGATTTAAAAAAATGCTACTTTTATTTTGCAACTAAAAGTGATTTTTAGGGATGACATTATCTTTTGAATGATTCAAGTAAAATTACATCACAATTTCACAATAAATAAATAAATATATATATATATATATAATATGTAATAATTATAATATATTTTTATAAAATAAATAATTAAAAATTATTATTATAAATAAGGTTGTTGAATAATGATAAGATGAAAACTTTAGTTATATAATTCTTTTATTTTTGGTGTTAGCTAGATACTCACAAAATTAAACTCTAAATGTCTAAATGTTATGTAAAGGAATAAAGTTTGATGAAGAATTTTATTATGGTTAATTTCACTTTTATATAGTCTGTACCGAACCATTAACAATATCTTTCCTTAACGAGGAGAATAGAGAAGAAACATAGGTCACGAAAACTGTATTTATATTCTTACCCTTATAAATACGTCTCACGCGAACCATTGTGCATGACATCCTAGATCAGTTACTGGCAAGGAATCCTTTCACGTGAATCACAGTTTTGCTCCGTGTGACATTCTTTTATGGCAAAAAAATCATCACATATAGGCTGTTAAAGCATATGCCAACTACAATACTCATCACTTTGTAAAGTTTGAATTCGCCGTTAAATACATGAGAAGAGGTGCTCTTAATTGTATAACTTTGTCATTTGTTACAAAAGCTGAGTATATTAATTGTGTACAAGAATTATGATTTTCTGTCTATATTGATCATTCGCATAATAAGATTGAGTGTTAGGATATTATTTGGCAATGAAGAAAATTAATTTTGAGTGAGAAAGTTTACAAAGAATCAATTATAGATGTCTACAAAATCAATTATCTACAAATTAATGTAAAAAGAATCGATTATCAACGAATTTATTTAAAGAAAAATCGATTCTGAAAATTTGATTCAATCTTTTTAAAGCTGAATCAAGATAATTATAAAATAGGAAGCAGATAATTTGGTAATGTCAAATGTCCTAAAAAAATAAGTAGAGCAGAAAAATTAGAAATCATCATTTCTTTCTTGGAAGCCTATTTCTTTTTTCCAGCCCGTCTCTCCTCGTATCGCTTTGCTGATAAGTTTTTTTAAGTAAATCAAGACATTTTCTACAAATATAATTTGTTATACTATTTTTATAGATAAAAGAAATACTCTTTTACATTTAGAATTAATTTTCTTCATATTCATTCAAATAAAAATTAGTTTAAAATTACTTTAAAAATAATTTATTCCATTCGGGCAAAGTTTAACTAAATTCAAACTGACCTATTTATACAAACAAAACAATTATGTGTCATCATATTCACAGCTAAATAATTTGGTAAATAGCATCTTAAATCTTGAATGTGACATGTCTCATCGATGCTTTGTTTATTACATAAGTGTTTAAAATCTATTAAAAAATAATTAATTTTCATCAATAATTTACTTATATTAATTTTTGTCATAAATAATTACATATTATTTATTTTTATCAAAATATATTTTAATAAATTACTTTTACTTTAATTTAAATTAACAATCTTACTAATTTAAAATAATTTTATCAATTAAAGTACAATTTTATTTTATTTAAAATAATCACCCAAAATTTATTTTTTACCAATTACATTTTATATTAATATAATTTATATATTTAAACATTTTTATTTTGTATAATAATTCATATTTGTTTTAATATAATTTATATAAATTATATTTTATTTAAAATTATTTTTTTAAAATAAGAATAAAATTATAATCTTATTATTTTATCAATTAAAACATTTTTGTTAATCTATCAAATTAATCTCAACCCTCACAAATTTTCTCTTAATCCAAACAACCTCACCATCTTCCAATCCAAACAGAACCTTAGACAACCTTAACATTGAACTCATGCATGATGACTTACCCGTCTATCTGTGTATAATAAACTTTTACCATTCCAACAAAGTTGATGATGAAAAACGCCATAATCAAAGTCACACTGATGGTGAAAATGATAGATGTTGTGAACTTTAAAAAATAATAGATGGTGATGATTGCAGAACCATGGACGTCAACAACAGCAGTAACAAGATACGCGACGGCGAGTGAGAGTATTTTGGCGGAGGAGGTAGAGAAAGAAAGGATGGAAGAAAGCATAAAAAGTACATTGCAACAGTGAGGATAAGATCAATCAAACAGCAAATCAAATTCTGGTTAATTGATCCAATAGATAAATAACTATAGTAATGTACATGGCGTTAACCTCCAAATGATATTTTCTTGGGTAACTAACTCCTAGACAAATTCGATTTACTTTGCAACTAAGATTATTACCAAGCGAATGGCTTCCAAAATTCATCGCGCTAACTTCATACTCAAACTCGATCAATCAATTTCTCTTAACATGTGATTATCTAGTTAACATAGTTCTCAAAAATATGAAAAATAAATAAAAAACCCTTACATGAATCGAGTTGAATAGATTCAAAACATTGCGGATTTAAATTTCTCAATAATTTAACGATTGAAACGATGCCAACACTTAAAACAAATTCATGCATTCCATATTCAAGCAAGCCACATGCGTAGCTTGACCAATATGAATCTGAAACATAGCATGCACACATAAAACCGTTTTCATAAACAATAGTCACAAAATTAAACAGTATTGCATTCAAGATACAAACTGGGCCACGTCCTGACCTCATTTTATCAGAAAGTACTCTCTAAGGTGTCTGAGAGCGGCGGTGGTTGTCATCATCTTCATCAATGGGACTCCTGTCATCATCCCTAGGACTCCGGCTGGGACTGCCACTACGGCCATTAGCTTTAGGGCTATCATAGCCCCTCACATCCCGGTCCCTCGCAGGGCTAGCAGGGCTTCTACTCTTCACTCTAGGACCATCACTATAGTCAGACCCATCTCGCTGATTTACTAACCTATCATTACCAGGAGATGGGTCACCTCTCTTTTGCGGGCTGCCATGTTCAGGTGATGCACTATGCTTCCTTATCTTAGAGGGCTGAGGACTCCGTGATCTATCTTCAGAAACTGGGCTTCGTTCTCTCCTAACAGGAGATCTCGATCGACTGGCCAGACAAAGGTGCAACTCAACTTATAAGTATATAACAAAACAGTACTGACTAATGAAACAAGGACAAATAATTGAAATTAAAGTATCATTGTGTCAGTACAATAAATGTAAGATTAGAGAAGACAAAGAATCCAACCTGTAGCTGCGGTCACGGCTATAGCTTCGATCCCTTCGGCTATGTCGAGGAGATCGTGACCTGACAGGTGAACGAGAAGGACTGCGTCCACGTCTGCTGCTGTAACAATTCAATTCGGCAGTATCAATTTAAAGCTCATAAATTCCATTACAAAGTAATAACCGAGTTAAGAACATATGAGCTGTAGTTTAGAAGCTACACCATGACCTACCTCAACTTTTTGGGACTGTTCTTGCAGTTCTTCTCTATATGACCTCTTTCACCACAGCGGTAACACTTGTTTTTCCAATCCCCAGCTTTGCAATCACGGGCCCAATGACCATCAATGCCACAGTTAAAGCATCGTCCAGATCCAGGTGGTGGACCCCGACCCATGTATTCCCGGGAACCACGAGGACCCTGATTAATCAAAGATCATATGAATAAAATATATTAACAAGCAGACAAAACTTGTTTCCACAAGTCAATGAACACTAGCAATGAAATTAGAAATGCCAACAATGTCAAAAAGAGATTTAATATCTGTGTATTATAATTTGAAAAAAAAAATATTAGTACAGTAATAAAAGCCAAGCAGAAAGGGTAAACATACGAGACCATCATCATCTAATTTAAATATATTCTTGTACTATTCTTAAATACAAAAATGATAGGCTAATGACACAAATACGAAGCCAAAGAACAAAATGTAAAAACTACGCAAGGTACTCTTCAATCAGTATTTATGAATACAAAGTTAAACGCCCAACCACATTAAAATAAGTTAGAAAAATGTTAACTCAATCGAAACCAACCTGAAATTGTAAAAATAATCTAATACGGATAATACCATGAATGGAAAAATCATACCCCCTTGGCAAATTCCACAATAATGCGACTTCCTTCAACATCGCGGCCATCCAAGTTATATCTAGCATCATCAGCATCTCGAGGATCGCTAAATTCCTGTTCAGAAGATGTCAGGAACAAGCCAATAAAGTAACATAATCTTACCATCGTTTACAACTGAATTCCTCTGAGCAGATACTAAAGCCACCTTGGAGAAACGGCATGAGGAGAAAATGATGTCAAAAGAAATAAATAAAGGCAAAGAATGGATGCCGACTTACAACAAAGGCGAAATCATTCTTCATATCCACCCCTCGAACTCTGCGGAAATGGTTTCCAGAAACAGTAAGGCCATCATTACTTAACTACTCGAACTGTATACATCGCCCCTCATAGACGAACTAAACACCAGTTTGAGATTGTTGCCATTTGCATAAAAAACACGCAATAACATTACAGAAAGAATCTCCAAAGTCAACACTCGACAGGAATTTCCATCAATTCCACCAAGGCCAACCTCCCAACACAGACCTCCAGGTTTAGAAAAAACCTCAGAAACCTTCAACAAGATCATTCAAGTTAAAACATGACACCTAGGGGATTTGGTTACCATGCATAACATACATGACAAATAACCAATGCAAATCCAAGCTCAAAAAAATAGCTTGGGGAAAACCTGTATATCATCCCCTAAGTTTCAGCATAAAACAAGGTCGACGCCCCACAGCAACTTATCACTAACTTGGCTCCCTTGCCAATAGAAACAATAAAATGAATCCAACAAGTACGAACATATGATTGCACAATTTAGACAATACATGACAACGGATACCATCCTGCAAAATTCTAAAAGGTAATTTAAGGATAGAAAAATAGAGTCGTCCATCCAAACAGACACACAAACAAACGTGGAATAATAAAAAAAATCATTTGAAAGAGTAGAAGAGCAAATAATCAAGATATTTAATGTCACCAAGACCGCAATTGTAGCTACATCAGCCCTAATTGTCTGAAATTTTCAATAACTTTCAAGGGTCACGTCAAAAATTCACAACCGCGATACAAAAGCTTGCATGTAAATAAACATTTTTCTTTTGGAAAAGGCCGAAGTTGAATAGAGCAATAATTAAGACTGTGGTTATTTATATATTTTTAAGGATAGAAATATTGATTAAAACGGGGAATTACCTTCCATATCTGCTAAAGACACGCTCGAGATCACGGGAACGAGTATTCGAAGACAAGCGTCCTACATACAGGCGGGTATTTCCATACTTATCATCATACCGAGGCATCGTTGATTGCTTCTAACTCTGCAAAAAATACAACTGATGTTTTGGTATTAATTACGGAAGAGGCTAACCAGAGACCCCTTCTCAGAAGATAAATATACAATTAATCGCAAAAGCAAATCAAATACAAAAATTGAAATAAAGGGGAAGGATAATTCACAAATAATTCGAATTTCATACATGCAATCGATTCTAAATCTGTCAGAAAAAAAAAATCGATGAAATATTAAATCGGGATTGATGGAGTGGAGCATGCAGAGAGAAAATCCAATAGAGACGAGGAAAAAACAAAAAGTGTAAAGGGGAATCGAATTAAACCGAAGAAAAGAAGGAAGATAAGAGTTACCTCGGAGCGGATTGGCGTTTCACCCTAAACCTAACCCTTTCAAGAGGAGCAGCTTCTCTCTAACGATTTATTTATACAAGGCCACTGCCACATACGTCCGTAGATATTTTGTTGTTTCCTTTTATTTTAAAGTATAATTGGGCCAACAGTTGGGCTTGTCGTGGATTATAAAGCCCTTTACATCTTACAAGGAAAATTCATCCTTGAGTTTCGTTTTAAGCATTCATATGGAGAGTTAAAACAATAATAACCTTTTTCTCTAAATTCTTATGTTCCAAAATATTTTTTTTAAGTGAGATTTATTTAGAAATAAAAATAAATATATTATTATGAATATTACATACAAGTTTAAAATTTTATTAAGGTGATTGATATAAATTTTTTTTCAATTTAAAACAATTTGTTTAATGTTTTAAACAATTTAAACGAAAAAATTATAATAAAATATTTATTTTTATTATTAAATAATTTTTATTAGCAATTATGTTCTAACAAGTTCATAGATAAATATTATATTTAAAAGAATGATGATTTAATTAAACATTTAATTCACTATAAAAAAATTTCTATTCTATAACATTTATGATAGTTATATTATTTTCTCTACTAGGTGATTTAGTATTTGAGGTGTACATCTATCATTTTTTTAGTTAATAGATATATAAATATCAATATTTTATAGAACTTATATCTATTCAATAAAAATCTAGAAAATTAAAATTTACATAAGATATTATAATTATATTTTTTTAAAATATCCAAAATTATAATCAAATTGCATTCGCATAAAAGATAAAAATATTGCAAATATGTGATAAAATGTATGATTTATAAGAAGTTAAATTTGGTATTTATATTAACTATAATTTTCCAAAAAAATGTAAATATGATATAAAAATCTACTAAAGTATAATCAAATAAATTATCGTTTGAACAAAACTATTAAGTTAAGTAAATTTTAATGTCAAATAGGTAAAAAGTAAATAAATCATAGATTGAAATACAGTTGTTCTTAATTTTTAAAACTAATTGTAACATTACAAAAGAAAAAGGCTAAAAAGTAAATGAGACTAAAATGTTTTATTTAAAAAAAACAAAAAAAGTATGCTATCTTAAAATGGAAAAACAAAAATAAAAAATATAAATAATACTTAACCCACATGTCTTAACTAAAATATTTATTTTATATAATGTATATATTATTCTAAAAAGTGAAGGAAGGAAAAGCGTAAATCCATCCTGCACCAAAACCAAGGTTGTAACAACCAAAAATATATATATTTGATAAAGTAGTAATTTAAAATAAATCTCATCAACTAATTTTTTTATAAACACTAATTTATACAATACATGTAAACTTAATTAATTAATATTTATAATTTAAATTATAATATATTTATATATTTTAAGATAAAAAATATAATTCTTTTAATTATTATTTTTATTATATATTTTTTTATTTTAGTATATAAATATTTTTTTAAAAATGTACCAACAATTAATCTACTGTATCTCACCCTTAATTGATCCGATTAACATAATAAATATGGTAGATCAAAACATAGTAATGAATTGAATCTATCAAATAACATAATTTTTTTTAGAGAAATGAATCTAATAACCTAATCCGTTTTATCATTCATATTTCTTAAAACTTACTTGTCAGTGCCAAATATACGCTTTAAACCAAAGTAAAAGGATTCTACCACAACTCTCACCGTTACATTTGCACAATTCAAATTCACAGCCACTAAATTCAATATTAAGTATTAGTCATGCTAATTATCTATCAATCAAATTATTCCAATTTTGCAATTTTATTATTAGAGATTTTTGTTCTAATAACCAATATCTTGTTTTAGTGAAAATATATAGATATGAACTTCATTTTATCCTGATTGGAAATTTTTCACTTGAACAAAAATATATGAAAATAAATTTTATCAACTAGAGTTTCATTAACTAAACAATCAAATCCTTGTTTAAGCAATTGTAAAATAAAAAATTAAAAAATCATCACCTTTATCTATGCAATAACCTTGAACCACTTATTTTATCATCTAATAATTTAGATAAATTATTATTTTCAACTATTATATTACTAAAAAAAATATGATAATAAAGATTTGTAGTTAATTCTTTATTATGAAAGAAATAAATATTTTTTTAATAATTTATATATTAAATTATTATATCAAAATAAAGATTAATTTTATTAATATAAATTTTTAAAAATTATTTTTAAAATTAATTATTATTTTTAAACTGGTTTAATAGCCAATTGACCTAGTATAAGTTACTAGACAAAATATTATAATACATTTTAATAGTTATAGGTGTTTAATCTTTACAAATTACACCATTTTTTTCTTCATTTTATCTTCATTTATTATAATAGCATTTCAACACAATTTATTATCTTCATAGTTTATAATATATTGAAATAAAGAGTATATTTAGAGAGTAATTTATTTTATTGGAGAATTTAAAATAGGTTATCATAAAATATTAGTTGAATAGAAAAACTAAAATAAATTAAAATTGTATAGATTTATAAAGTAACTTTGTTACTTTGTTTATTTTTTATTTACATAAAAATTCCAAATTATAAAATTCATATTTTTCCAATGCTCTGTCATGTCTCAATTTTAGCTGCGATGTTATTCGTTTTTTTTTTTTATGTTGTCAAGATGTTTTTAAAATTTAAGTCTATGTTATCTTTTGGTAGATTATTAAAGTTATTTTTTTGCCAAAATATAGCAATATTACTTTTCTGCCAATGTCGTTGATAATTTCTTAAATAACATGAGTTATGTTTTTGAATTCATGTCAAATATTTTTTTGTTCATGTTGACATGAATAATAGGGTGTTATATTATAGTCTATGTTAATCAAAGTTACATTTTGACCAACATTGATCAAAGTTATTCTTTTGTTAACATAAGTGAAGTTATTTATCAATAGATATTAGTCGAAGTTTTCTCAATCAACATTCACAAAATTATATTTTCATCTGAGGTTAGTTAAGATTTTGTTATCAACGTGATTGAAACTATTTTTTTGGGGAAGTTAAAATTTTCAAATTAATGTTGTTGAGAATTATTATCATTTTTCTCTTAATGCAAAACAAAGTGAATTCTTATAGTTTAGTTAGGATTTCTGTGACTAATGAAGATGAACTATTTTTCATTTAATTGTAATTATATATATTTTTTCCATGTCATGATTATGGTTTACTTGATATCTATTGAGATTAATTTTCAATTAACATCACTAATTAACATTTAAAATGCAAAAGCTAATTAATATAGTCATGAAAAAGTGGTGGGTAGAAAGTACAAGTTGCAGAGAATATGATGAAGAAGAATGCAGCAGATTTTGGTGGATGAAAAAAAACAAGAAGTGACCTAAATTAAGCTCTTTGCAGTTGCACACTTGATTTAAAAGTTATTATTGAGATAAATAATGATTTAACAGCGTACAGCATTGAACTACTACCTTCTCTTGTTCCTGCTCCCAAAGAGGAGCGTCAAATAAAAGAGGAAGCGAAAGAAGAAGCCCCAAGCAACCGTGATCCAGAAGCAGTTCCACTTGCTCAGCTGCGTTATCCCCTGCTGATTCAGCACATCCGCTCCGGTGATCACGCACGTCGACCTCGTGATGTTCATGCCCAGGGTGTTGCTCATGCTCTTCAGCAGCTCCACCTTCAGCGTCTCCGGCACCATCCCCAACGGCGTGTTGTCGAACATCTGAATCCCCCTCACGAAGCACCTGGGAGATTTCACGTCGAACTCGTTCTGCAACACGCCCTCGTACGGGTACTTCACCAGCGACAGGTAGTGGAACCATAGCCAGTACGGAGGGATCCTGTCCCTGCTGATGAAGAACCCGCTGAAGAGAAGAAAGTACGCCAAGATCGCAACAACCACCGTGAACCCTATCATCACGTGCGACACCACTCCCGAGAGGAACGTCACGAACGAGCTCCCGGCCCAGAACGAGGCCACGATTACCAGAAAGTAAAAGAGAAAGCCCGAAGAGCCGCCCGCCAGGCCCACGGCCCAAAAGGTGGTGGCGGCAAAGGCGAGAGAGAGAACGAGCAGGGAAGGGAGTGAGATGATTGCGTGTGAGAGGACGTAGGAAGAGCGACGGTACGCGTTGTAAGCGGTTTCCCTCATGAAGATGTAACGCTCTTGGAGGAACACTGGGATGGCTTCGGCGCAGGTGTAAAAGGTGGTGGACATGGCGAAGGCGAAGAACCCCACGCGCTCTTGAACTCCTTTGGGTGAATCATCCAGGTGCCAGAAGATTGTGGCCAAGATTGCCCCCGTCACAAGAACTGCACCCAAACGAATCCCGAATAGCTCCGGCATCCTCCGTGAGTTCGTTAGAGACCGTTTTCCTATCACCGCCATTTCCATCCAAAACGGATTCGCGAAGGCGGGAACGGAAACTGACGCCGTTGAGTTTTTGCCGTTGCCGTTAGCGCCGGACACGAGTTTTCCTCTGGAAATGCTAGCGCTGATGGCGTCCTTCAGAGATGGTTTGGGTTTGGGCTCGTTCTGGACCTGGGCCTGGGCCGAGGTTTTGTTTTTCAGCTGCCACGATTTGTTGAAGTCCACTAAACTCTTGGTGCCGCCGGGTTCTTCTTCGAGTTCGCGAATTAGGTCGAGCGCGAATTCGGTGCGGTTCTCGTTCTCCGGTATGGGGTGGCCGAACTCGGAGAAGAAGGCTGGGAGGTTCGCCGGAGAGCCGCTGTAGACGGTGTTACCGTGGGAGAGGAAGATCAAGTGGTCCAACAAGCCTAAGATTCTGTAGCTAGGTTGGTGAATGGACATGATGACGATGCTTCCGCTCTGTGCAATTCGCTGCAGCACTTTCACCACCATGAAGGCGCTGGTGGAGTCGAGGCCCGAAGTTGGTTCGTCGAGGAAAAGCACGATGGGATCGTGAATGATGTCAATTCCTATTGAGACGCGGCGGCGTTCGCCGCCGGATACTCCGCGATGGCCCTCATCGCCGATGACGGTGGAGGCGGCGGACCGGAGGCCGAGCTGGTCTATCAAGGCCTGGACTCGCGCTTTCTTCTTGGATTTGGAGAGGGAGCGAGGGAGTCTGAACTCTGCGGCGAACATGAGGGTTTCTTCGACGGTGAGCATCGGGAAGAGGAGGTCGTCTTGCATAACATAAGCGGATATAACCTTTAAAAGACTGGAGTCTAAAACGTCACCGTTCAGGGTGACTGTGCCTTTGAGGCTTTCCTTTGAGATGCGGTCGGCGAGGGCGTCGATGAGAGTGGACTTGCCGGAGCCGCTGGCGCCGAGTACGGCCATGATCTCGCCGTCCCTGGCCTCTCCGGAGATATCATTAAGGAGAGTCTTGGTGCCGTTGAGTTTGGTTTGGTGGTCGGGCGAGGAAACAGTGGCGGCGGGAAAGAAAGTGAACTTGCGGCGAAGCTTGACGCTGTAGGTTAAGTTGGAGAAGGAGAGGACAAAGGGGTGGGTGGCGGCGGAGGAGGAGGAGAGGTCAAGAACATGGTGGGGTAGTGCAGGTGGTGTGTCGTTTTGGGCGTCTTCGACTCGTTTGAGGAGATCAGCGAGGGTGCGGGATCGTGTTCGGGTTGTGGGTGGGTTTGGGAGTTGGACTAGTTCCATGGATTGGTTGAAGAAAGGAAGCCTATCGTCGAGGATCGGATTGGGTTGTGGTGGTGGCGGCGGCGGCGGCGGCGTTCGACCAGACATTGCCATTCAGCTTAGAGGAGTTCACTTTCTTTACACTTGGGAGAAGGAGAACCGCATTGCGTTGCATGTCTCATTCGTCACACGAGCGCACTATAAATAAAGGCTTGTGGTACATGTACGTATGTTCCATTTTCAGAGAAGTGGAGAAATTTTTTGAAATATAATAAAAAAACAAGTAGATTAAAAAATAAAATGTTTTTAATAGATAAAAAGATAAATAACAACGATGTTGATGGAATTGAGTTGGAAGGAAATTGGTATGGCGTAAGCGTTGGGGGAAAAATGCAGAATGCATCCAATGCTACCTTTTCTTGTTATTGTAAACAAAATGGTAATTTAGATAGTTTGGTTGGTGTATTTTAGTTTTATTATGGAGACGTGGTGGAGTGATCAAAGTCTGAACCAAAAAGTTAACAAGATCCAATTCCAAGCACAGTAGGGGAGGAAGATGACCAATCGTTTACATATAATTTCTTAAAAGCTCGTTTGATATGTTGGTTACAGCAAATTGTTACATCCTACTCAACTCAAGTGCTCAAACGCAAGTCAATTGCTTCAAATTCGTTTATTATTTCTTAAATGTAAGTTGTGGACTCAATGCACAAAAAGAGGTCACCAAACACATCCTAATCCGTATTCGCCTTCAGCACGCATTCCATTCCATACGAAACCCAAACCCCATCAAGTTCTTACGTGGATGCCTCTTGGATTTTTAACACCTTCCATTGATAAATTTTATAGCTTTCAAACCAATTTTTATTATTTTATTTTTTATAAAATATTTTCATTATTACCAAATACACAAATTTATCACTTAACATTATCAATCGGGACTATCTTAAAAATAAATATTATAAGATAAATAATTCTAACAACCGGAAAATAACATATTCACATTAATTGAACAAATTCTAATTAAGATAGGTTAAAAAATAATATAGATTAAAAAATCATATTCTACATTCGTAAAATAATTGATTTTAACATAAAATAAACTCTATCAACAAGAGTCGAATCGAAACTACGGTATCTAAGCAAAAGAAGGAACATGAAATAATAAATCTAACTTTGATACAGTAGGAAATGTGATTTTTTTTTTCAATTTTGTACCTTTTAAGGTGATTTTTTATTTATTTTAAATAATCAAATTACTAATATAATCATCTAAAAATTTAATTTCATTTAACATTTACTAACTAAATAATATATTTTATTTTCATAAAATATTTCAATTTTTTATAAAAATAATCTATAATAATAAAAATTCCTATCAAAATTTATAAAGTGTTATTATTCGATATTATTTTTAAGAAAATTGTTATAAAATTTTACTAATTTACGTAGGTGTGGATGTTATATCTAACGTACTAGTCGTTGAAATATAAGAGAAAGACACTGGTGTAAAGAACTTTATTTGTCTCTTTTAATTTTTAATTTGATTGGTCAAAGTTTTGCTCTGGTGTCAATATTGACAATTAAATGTTTTTTTCATGTTTGGTTTATTTAGTATTCTCAAGAATTTAACTATTAATGTTTATAGTGATATTGTTATTGGATAATTTAATCTAATAAATAATGTTTTTTTATAAGATAATACTTTACTCTTAATTTCTTTAAAAAAAAACTTCTGCAAGATAAGTAAAATAAAAATAAAAATTGCAAGAGAATATAAAAAATATTACAAATACCTTTTTAAAGATGATGAGAGAACATGCATAAGAAGAAAAAAATGTAGGGTTAAGTCACCTGTCAAAATAGGATTATCCCATAAGTCGATTTCAAAATAGAATTAGGCAATTTTAAAATAGAATTAGGCGATAGATTACTTTAAAATATTCGGAAAATAGATAAAAAAAAATCAATCTAAATTAAAAAAATTTGTGATCTAAATTAAATCAAACTTATTTTGTCCCCACTTAAGACAAACTATCATATAGGTTTATGGATGGACTCATTTTAAAGAATAATAATTATTTTTTAAATAAAAAAGTTATATTATTTTATAAATATATATATTATAAATTAATTTGGTAGGATTCAATTACTCCCAAAATAAATATTAGAATAAATATCTAATAATTATTTATTCCAAAATTTAATAATTAAGATTAATTACTATTTTAAATTAATAAATTACTAAAACTAAATAATGATAATAAAAACTAAGTTTTTAATTCTTATTTTGAGATTAAATGAGTAAGTTGTCCTATTATTTATATATTAAATCAATATATCTTAAAGAAAAACTAATTTCATTAATAAAATTTAAATTTTTAAAATATATTATTTTATTTAAATATTTTTTTAATTAATTAATTTTTTATAGATATATCAATATATTTTTAATGTGATAGTTCAGGAGGATGTTTACTGTCATGAAAGTTGTTCAAAATCAGTGCTTTGTGGGGGGAGATCGCTTGCTTTATTATCATGCATATTTTTTCAATTTGAAAAAAATGGAAAAAGGAAATATCACTTCATCCTAAAGGTGTTTTTGTGGAAGGTTGATGTCACTTCTTTGGATGTTGTCCTATAACTTTCTCACCCCGTCGCCTCGAAGGAGAGAATGATCATGTCTACTACTACTGTTATATGTTATAACACTTTGTTTCATATTGTTGATGTAGGTGTTTACTTGCTTTTCACTATGTTTGTTCTTTTTTATATCTTCTGATTTTTTTTTTCTTGCACGTGTAAATGTCATATTCGTTTGACTAGGTATTTTGATTGCTACTTTTTGTACCTCTTTTATGAAATTTGTTTTTGTTAATTAAAAAAAAAAACTTTGAAGAATATATGAAATTTGTATTACAATCTACTTAAAGTTAATTGTCTTTGTTGAAAGTCCCACATCACCTACCTCATGTCATTTGGTATGGTTTAAATACATGTTAGGCTACTCCACATATTGCCAATTGGTTTTATGTTGGAACATTAACATGGTATCAGAGCCAAAGCCTAACATCTTTCCGGTTATTGTCATGGGCCAAAAGTTGCCCTTTAGTTGGGTCAAAAGTACCCTTTGCCTGGTCCGGCGGGCTTCGTTGGAGGGGGTGTGTTGAAAGTCCCACATCACCTACCTCATGTCATTTGGTATGGTTTAAATACATGTTAGGCTACTCCACATATTGCCAATTGGTTTTATGTTGGAACATTAACAGTCTTGAAGTAAGAATAAAAAAAAAAATCCTGGTATGCAATGGCAATTCAATAACTAAGGTAGATAATGTAATAAGTATTTTATTTTTTTATCATCCTTTCCACAAATGCATGTTGTATTGGGTGAGATAAAAGATTAAAGAAATCAATGGAACAACACTGGGTTATATATTGTGTCAAATTTTATCTTACAATAAATTGATAACAAGATGAAATTGTCAACAAGTATATAATCCACACTACCCATGCGATACATTTTAATCATTTTGTTAGTAGGAAATCGTTAAAAGGATCGAAAAATGAAGGAAAGGAAAAAATTGAAGATCATATGATTGGTAAAAGACATCGAGAACGTGCTTTTGATGAGATTGGTAAAGGACACCTGGTGACCACAAAGATGAAAATGCATCGAGAATCAAAATCGAGAATCGAAGAAACAAATTTCGATGTCTATTGTTGAAGAGAATCGAGAGATTAAAATAGTTAAAGGGAATCAAAAGCAAAATTTAAAATACTCGATGACTGAAATCGAAATCGAGAGAGCGGTGAATACACACAGGGAACATGGGAAACGGTTTCTAAACCGCGACAGAGATCGAAGGTTAAGGGAGCAGTTCTCTTGTACGTGAGAACGTGGAGTGCAGTTTTTAAACTATCAGACTAAAAGTACGTGCACGCAGGATCGTGATGACAATTTTGTCAACCGCTCTTAGGAGGTTATCTGAAGGGCGCCCTATAAATAGAATGAAGCATGAAGAAGAAGGGGAAATTGGCAGAGAGAACAGAAATTTTAGTGAAAAGTCTACCGGAGAACGACGAAATCATGAAGTTTCTGGCGATATGGATTTCCATTTTCATTGAGTGTCTTTACCGCTTTCTTTACTTTCCCTGGTAATTTACGTTCATACAATTTACTTTGATGCAGTTTGTGTTCATGCAATTTAAGTTTCTGTATTTCCAATTTGCAATGTAAAATTCCGTACTTAAAATTTCTGTCATTTAACGTTCATGCAATTTCGATTTCCTGTCATTTAACGTTTATGCAATTTCGATTTTTTATCATTTAACGTTCATGCAATTTCGATTTCCTGTCAATTTCGATTTCCTGCTATTTACATTTCTGCAAATTCAATTCCTCGTCATTTACACTTAATGCAAATTTGAGGTTTCCGCATCTTACATTTCTTTGTATTTTTCTACGTTGCTTTTCGATTCTACATGTTTATTGCTTTCTTTACTTTGAGTATTTTAAATACAAGATACCAAAAAACAGCATTTTCGATTGTTAATCTGCACATTAGGTTGCGTTGTTAGTATTTTCAAACACTATGATTTTCGATTCTCATACATATTTCGATTGAAAATCGTTTGCTAGCCTAAGTAAAAAGAATCTACGTGGTTGGAATTTGGTTAGAACAAAATCCTTTAGAAATCGAAATCGATTAAAATTCCACCAGAAACAAATTGGCGCGCCAGGTAGGGGTGACTTGAGTCGAAAAAACTGGTTAGTTCGAAAGTGTATGATATTAAGGAGTGGGCGAGTAATAAGAATGAGTCAAAATCCACTAAATAACCAGCGTAACAGTGAGGGTCTAAATGGTCTGAATGGTTCACATCCACCAAACACTGGGGGGCAAGGTCATAATGGGAATATGCCTGTAATATCGACAACCGCAAGTATGTCGATACCTATGAGTAGCGAACAAAGTTCAAGTACATTAGCAAATACTCAAGTAGGGTCTAGTACTATGATACCAAACAATATGCAAACTATGGGAAACCCTATAACAACATATGCAGGGCCATATATGAGCGTAAGGCCGCCTGGTTTTTCGCTTAAT